ACTGGGTTGCCCATAGAAGTGTTCTATATGAGAGATCCACCATCCCTGTCTGAAGTAGGGATGTGGATTGGTGAAATTCTGGCCATACGATACGCACCTCGATGCAGGGGAGACAATACGATATTGTGGGGCAAAAAAGTATTTAGTCAGCCACCGATTGTGCAAGTTCTCCTACTTAAAATGAAGACAGGGGTCAGTAATTTTCATCATAGGTACACTTCAACTGTGAGAGACAGATTGTGAAAAAAAATCCATGAATTCACATGGCAGGATTTTTAAAGAAATTATTTGTAAATCAGGGTGGAAAATAAGTATTTGGTCACTTCAAACAAGGAAAATCTCTGGCTCTCACAGACCTGTAACATCTTCTTTAAGAAGCTTTTCTGTCCTCCACTCGTTACCTGTATTAATGGCACCTGTTTGAACACATTATCTGTATAAAATACACCTGTCCACAGCCTCAAACAGTCAGACTCCAAACTCCACTATGGTCAAGACCAAAGAGCTTTCGAAGGACACCAGGAAAAGAATTGTAGACCTGCACCAAACTAGGAAGATTGAATCTACAATAGGCAAGCAGCTTGGTGTGAAAAAATCAACTGTGGGAGCAATTATCAGAAAATGGAAGACATACAAGACCACTGATAATCTCCCTCGATCTGGGGCTCCACGCAAGATCTCATCCTGTGGGGTCAAAATGATCATGAGAACGGTGAGCAAGAATCCCAGAACCACACGGGGGGACCTGGTGAATGACCTGCAGAGAGCTGGGACCACAGTAACAAAGGTCACCATCAGTAACACACTACAACGGCAGGGAATCAAATCCTGCAGTGCCAGACGTGTTCCGCTGCTGAAGCCAGTGCATGTCCAGGCCCGTCTGAAGTTTGCCAGAGAGCACATGGATGATACAGCAGAGGATTGGGAGAATGTCATGTGGTCAGATTAAACCAAAGTAGAACTTTTTGGTATAAACTCAATTCATCGTGTTTGGAGGAAGAAGAATACTGAGTTGCATCCCAAAAACACCATACCTACTGTGAAGCATGGGGGTGGGAACATCATGCTTTGGGGCTGTTTTTCTGCTAAGGGGACAGGACGACTGATCCGTGTTAAGGACAGAATGAATGGGGCCATGTATCGTGAGATTCTGAGCCAAAACCTTCCATCAGTGAGAGCTTTGAAGATGAAGCGTGGCTGGGTCTTCCAACACGACAATGATCCCAAACACATCGCCCGGGCAACAAAGGAGTGGCTCCGTAAGAAGCATTTGAAAGTCCTGGAGTGGCCTAGCCAGTCTCCAGACCTCAACCCCATAGAAAATCTGTGGAGGGAGTTGAAAGTCCGTGTTGCTCGGCGACAGCCCCAAAACATCACTGCTCTCGAGAAGATCTGCATGGAGGAATGGGCCAAAATACCAGCTACTGTGTGTGCAAACCCGGTAAAGACCTATAGTAATCGTTTGACCTCTGTTATTGCCAACAAAGGTTATGTTACAAAGTATTGAGTTGAATTTTTGTTATTGACCAAATACTTATTTTCCACCCTGATTTACAAATAAATTCTTTAAAAATCCTACCATGTGAATTCATGGATTTTTTTTCACATTCTGTCTCTCACAGTAGAGGTGTACCTATGATGAAAATTACTGACCTCTGTCATCATTTTAAGTGGGAGAACTTGCACAATCGGTGGCTGACTAAATACTTTTTTGCCCTACTGTATATTGCAATACATTCAGCCAGACGATGTTAGCGATTTATTTTTTAGACTGAAATTATTTTAGGAAAATTCAATAAACAGTCCAAACTGATGCCCAACATGTTTAACATGAGGTATCTGAACCATAATAGAAAGATTTACAATTCAGTGGTGGAAACAAAACCCATTGCATACCACTACCAACTAGCGGTCGACGTTTGAATTGCTCCAAAAGAAAAGAAAAGACACAAATGTTTGCATGTACGTTCTTCCAAAAATTAGATACACGGCTTTTGATTTTCGATATATCCCAGGAATAAATACCGCAAGTTCGCAACATATAGCCATACCAATATTTTCTTACATCCCTAGTCTGAAGGGTATTTTAAACAGACAAGTCCAAAAACTGAGCTGACACATTAGCTCTCCGTGGCTAACATCTTTTACTAAATATTGTCAGTAACACACTAGGTTCAATGAGTGAGTTGTTGCGGTTGAACACCACCAAGGAAACGAGTGAGAGCTTTTACGTTTGTGCATAGACGTGCTGATTGTAGAGAATTAATGCCGTGGGTCTCCACAGTGGTTCTCGTAGTGTCTTCTGGAACAATATGAAATCAAAGCATTACGCTCTAAGCACGCTGCAGAGAAGAAGTGTGGAGCGCTAGACAAGGAATGTCAGAACAAATTAAAAGCTTTTTCCACTCTGCACCTCTTTTTTTCCAGTCTCTCTCCTCCTTCGCCTCTCACTCCATATCTCTTTTGTGACTTGGTGAAGCCATCTCCTATCATCTGCTCTCTTCTTGACCATGCCTTCTCCATGTTTCTCCTCTTGTCTATTTTTCTCTCTCTGCTGGACTTAAGATGGAGGGGCTCATTTGCACAGAGCTCATAGTTAATTAGGCTTGGCCTCTTCACACAGGAGAGCAGGAGCTAAAGCCAGTAGGGAGGACAGAAATGGAAGTCCAGAGCTGCTGCTGTCAATCTATTATGGGCTTGCTGCTGACATTGTTGGAAACCATTCATTTACTTAAAAATAACGTTAAAGAGTAACTGAACCCCAAAATGACTTTTTTTTTGCTTATAAACTGTATATCTGGGTCTTTACAAATGCAATCTTTCTGTTTCCGTGCATTTTTGACATGTTCGTGTAAACTTGATTAAATCAAGAATCTTGGTCTAAAAACATCTTAGTGCTCCCCCCTGTGGCAGAACAGCAGCTACTGCATTTTAAACTTGTGATTGACTGGGGCTCGTACAAGTTTACGTCATCGGTACAGTCTCCTCCCCCGCCCTCCCAGGATGGAAAATCCCCACACTTGGCCATGCCACTCTGTGCCTCCTGGCAACGTCCACTTTCGTAGCATTTTTCAGATCTTGACTAGTTACATTTTCTGATAGCATGCAGTCCCTCTAAGTTTTAGTTTAGTGCAAAACCTTAGCAAGATTCTTGTTAGATTATATTAATAGAAACATAGTGTATATATAGTGTTTTATATTTGTTTTATTTTTATTTTTCAGCAACTGTAAAGGTCCAGACACTTAACTAATTAACATCAAATTTTCAGCTGACTGCATTTGGATGACCATTTATTTTGACATTAATCTAAATGATTTGATTGCAAAGACAGATGCCACAGTGCTGCTGTGGACAGTGTGCGAATGTCTTAAAGATGCATTATGTAGAAATGAAGTAAAAATGACATCATGTGGTAAAATTTGGTTACTGCAACCATTTTAAACAGCTCTGGAGCTTTTTGTTGGCCGTCGTCAAATCATAATTGTTGGTGCTGCAGTATTAGCTCACAGGAGACACGGCACCCCCACACTCACTGGTGGCAAACAGTGGTTATGTCCCTCCTTCCTTTATTTTGAAAGGAGAAAAACTGACAAACCCTGCAGCCAGCTGGATATGAAATATGTTTCAGTAGAACCTTCCTTCCTAAATGACTGAAACATTAAACTCTTTTGTAGAGCTGAAACAACTAATCGATTTAATCGATTATAATCGATTATTAAAATAGTTAACAACTTTTTTAGTCATCGATTAGTTGTTTAATAATCATATTTTACCGCATAAAGAAAATCCCAAAAGAGTCTTTTGGGATTTTCTCACTATAAAATTCTCACTATATTCTTATATACTACACCTTTAAGTTCACCTCCTTTTCATCGGTAGATAAAACTTGTAGGCCTCATTGACTTTTCGGTAACATCCTTTGGTCAAAACACAACAGCCATCTGTTTATAATAGCCGTTCTAACAATGAAAAGCTGCTGGTTGTTTGAATTTGCGATAAAAAGTTTTGTAAAATTACAAAAAATGTCAAATACTTTTTCTAATTTCCAGACAATGACAGCATTTAGCTTTCAGTTGTTAACGCTCTCCAAAAAATAAACAAAAAAACTGATAAAAAAAAAAAAAAGAAATGAGCTTAAAAATATCAAACCTGTTTAGTAACAATGTAAAATACAACTTAAAATACAAACTTAGATGCTAAGCATTATTTCTGTGAAATGCAGTACAAAATATATTTATTTCAGTTCATATGAGTAATTTAGTTTTATTTTAGTGTGTCTTGCTTAAACGTTCAGCTGTATGAGACCTTTTCCACACAGTGAAGCGTAAGCCTCTTGCAGCTGTCGACAGTCATGCCATTTTGATATAAAACACCAGTGAAAACAAGTTAGACCCCCACGTCACCTGTTGGAAAATATGAGTGTTTGCTGGATGAGTCGACAGTAAGCGTAAGTCAGATATATGTCTTTAGTAATGTGTTTGTGCTCTCAGCTGGCTTCATGTTACCCTTTAGATCTGGGGGACGCTGCAGTATAATGGAGATCTGCGTGGTCTCATCTCTGATTTGTGGTGAAAAATACCAACCCCCCTCGGCTTAACGGTGTGTACGTCCATTCAGTTCGAGAATCATTTCCTTTCCCTCCTTGCGCGTGACATAAAAAGGGAAAATCCCATTTCAGCTGTGACATTGTGCCTGCGTAGCAGAAACGTACAGAGACTATACATCAAAGCAAGGCAGACTGCACAGTGAGAGAAGGCAGGTTTAATGACAACAGAAGTCTTGAGTGATAATATAGAGCCGCTAAGAAGGAGTGTTGAAGTTATTATTCCGAGCGTGAAGCCTGCACCACATTTATCACACGGCAGAGCGGGAAATATGGAGCTGACGGTGTAATAGTCATTCCTCTCCACTCTGTGCTGGCAATTAATTCAGGCTTGTGTATAAGTGGCTGACCGATCTGTCAGTGCTGGACCTCTTAATGCATCCCTTCTCTTGGCAGGTTCCACATACAGCGTTCTGTCCACCATGCCATCTGACTCGGAAAGCAGCAGCTCTCTCAGCAGTGTTGGTATGTAGAAACATGAAAGTCCCAGCCATCACACTTCAACTATGCCATAGCAATGCTGAACTGATGTCTACCTTGCAAATTTCTGACTTGTGATGAGATGTTTACACTGACTGGAATGCAGAGGACAGGAAGTCGGAGATTTATTTGGCCTTTAAGCCCCACATTGTGAGCAATAACACTTGGCCAATTTCTCTCTCATTCTTCAAGGAAGTTAGCCATGTTTGCCTTTCCCTAGCTTTGACAAAGGTCCAAATGACTCAGCTGTGTTACATAAACCTCTGTGAGGTCCAAAAGTTGAGTCAAAGATGCATATAATCCCCAAGACTTCCTGCCGTGGGTGTTCTTTTGAAGAAAACGACCCAATATGTGATTCCATCAGAAATGTGTTTTTAATACAATCTGACTACTTGGCAAAGTGTCAAAGAGTCTCAATAAAGAAAGGATTACCTTGTTACTACAGTGGAAAATACTCACCAATGTATTTAATATTCTATTTTTGCTACAATCAAAAGAAAAATCCTAGAAAACAGCAGCAAGTTCCTTTTGTGCAACAGATTTTTAAAAATGTGTTGTTCAAGCTCTCAGTAACGCACTCGTTTTTACAGGTTCGCCTGTTAATGGAGAAGCATCTTCCCCTCCCCCAGCCATTAATGACAACCGGCACACCAGTGACAACCTGGACACCATCTTATTGCAGCTCCGCCAGGTGACCAGGGAGCGGGATGAGCTCCGCAAGCGTCTGGCCTTGGCATCGCCTGGGACCACCTTCGATGACTGCAGGTGCAAATGTTGGCCTGTTTCACTTAAATTTTGTTGTCGTCTTTTTAAATCAAAGCACTGTGCCCTTGAATCGGTTGTTTTAAGAGCTGCGTAGCTTGATCTGGAATGTATTCGCTGTTAAAATCACTATGGTCACGGTGTCAGCGTGGCATTTTGCTGCAAGGAAGAAAAAATCAGAAAGTCGATGCTTACGTTTGTGCCTAGTGGTTGATATCATCCATATTTAGTCAGACATTTTGTTCAGATATTTAAAATTCTTTCATGCATAAATATTTCACCTTGATTTGAGTTATCAGCCAAGGCTGGGTAGAAGTTTGAGTCCTTGCTGCTTTTTCATCTTCAGGCCAAATCCCAAAGCCAGCCATGACTATGAGCGTCTGAAAACTCAGTGCATGAGGGCCATGGCAGATCTGCAGTGTCTCCAGAACCAACACACCAAAACACTAAAGCGCTGTGAGGAGGCTGTGAAGGAGGCTGACTTCTACCAGTAAGTGCTTCTCCTTTTACTATCTTGCACCTGTTCTCGTCTCCCTTGTGATGAACTCTTCGCTCTCACTGTTTGCCTGTATTATTAGTGAGTGCAGACCATCTGAATTACACATGAAAGCAAGAGTGATTGCGTGATTCCACTCATTACTGAAAAATGCAGATTGTGTCACATGCCACCCACTGCTTTTCAGCATACAAATAATGAAGTTTTATTGCATTGTTTTATGGCATTTGTAACAAATACTGGCGTGGAGCGTCCATTAGCCTAATTGAAGGAGCAACCCTTAAAGCTAGAGCCAGATTTCACTTTGCAAGGGCACTGGCTCTACGGAAAAACCTGCACGCTTTTAAAAGCATGGAAATGAAGGCTTTTATGTGAGCGAATCATTCTCCTAATAGCCTGTGAGTTGAGGTAAGATTTCTGGAGCATGGAGGCAGAGATTAATTTCCAAAATAAGTAAAATAAGAATATTGTATGATGAATTAGCACATAACCATATAGCTGAAATGTACTCCGTAATTTTATTTGTATAGAAATAGTATTTTTATGATCAATTGTAATTATGCCAGATTTAAATAACAAAAACATGACAATAAACATTCTTCTCCATAAATTAAGTCATGAAGTTCCAAAAGTATGTTTTCATGGTTTAAATTAGAGGTGTGTTTTGGCAAGAATCTGGCAATACGATGTGTGTGTGTGTGTGTGTGTGTGTATGTATATATATATATATATATATATATATATATATATATATATATATATATATATATATATATATATTGTGTATAAAATCACACAATACGAGATGATACAATATACTAGCCTGGCCTGCCAGACTCCTCCAGTGTTTAATTCTGCACAGATAAAGGCTCAGGGAAGTCTCCTATTCAATTAACCCAATCCCCTGAGAATTTTAACTGAGCCAATCAGCGCTGAGTAGCATACGTCACACACTGTACCGCTGAGTTTGTCGAACATGGTGACTGAAGCAGAGTTCGCTGCGGCTCTTTCCTCTGTTCTAAATGACTTGGACACGTCTTTACAACAACAACAAGTAGAAGCGCTAAAAGCCTTTCTCGTAAAGGAAGATGTTTGCGCTGTCGCCGGTCACCATTTTTGACTACAGCTAAAAAACTACAGCGCCAGTAGGCATTTCCGTCTTTTTCCTGATTGGTTATTTTTGAGCTGGCTAGTCCCGCCTCTCATGTGCTGCTCTGCCTGTAACCAGACTAGTTCTCTGTGTAGAATTAAACAGAGGACGAGTCTAACAGACCAGGCTACAAATGAAATGCCATAAATGTTTGCATAAAAATGGTCAATAAAGAAATCAAAATGCTGCTTTTAAATATTGATTCTGTAATGAATTAGATTACAGGTTATTTAATAAGCCATAAGGCGTGGTTTTCCATAGGAAATATGAAATCCACCTTACGGATCTGTGAGGTTATTTAAACCAGAAGATTGGAACTTTTTATTGCAGGGATTCGATAACCGCTTCTTATTCACTCAGAGACAACAGGAGAGAGAGAGTCAAGTTTAAAAGTTAAGAATTTTATTACTAACAAATTGAACTAGACTGACTTTAAAACTAAATGTATGGTGTAACTAATGCGGATGAGACGGTGAATGGATGACGTGTGATGTTAATCAGAACCGGCAAATCTGAAGAAGCGATTAGTTCTGACGGGAACTGAAGGTGATGTCTTCACGTTAAGCTTTGGTTAGGAGATTCATAAACACATGAGACACCATTTGCCGGTCTACCTACCCTTCGTGGAAGTCCCCGTCTAGATCAGGAATATCGAGGTCCAGCTTGACCTTCTCTGGAACCGAGCCGGTAGGAAAAGCAGCGGTTCCGATCAGTCCAGTCTGTGAGTTACTTCCGGGTGCACGACAGTTTGTTGGCGTCTGGTGAGACCCAAGCCTGGGTCTTGATGGTTCAGCTTTTATTCTGAAAGGAACTGTTGCAGCAGTTGGAACAGCAACAAATTTTTCAGCTTTTCGTTGGTTCTTTTGGTTGAAGAGTATAGATCAGGATTGGTCACTCCGTCACTTTCTCTGGAACGCCTTGAACTGGCGTTAGAGCTGACGTGGCAAAGTTTTATACTTCGGGTGTTTTGGTTTATTGTCGAATGAAAAATCACCAAACACCATCAAAACCACGCCTCCGTCAGATCTGTAAGATTCTGATTGGATCAGTGAAAGTAACGTGTCAGATCTTTTAACGCTACGTGAAATCAGTCCTGTTGGAACATTTAAAGTCATAGTACCTTTATATTCTATAGGATTATAAAAAAAGAAATTAATATTTTGATTTCACAGATCGGTCACATCTTATTTATTGACTAACACTTTGATGGACTAGCTTTATTAAGATGGAGTTCTTTGATTAATTAAAAGAAAAGAGTTCATTCTTCTGTTGAGCTGAAAATAAGCAGGTTAGAAGGAATGCATGAGACCTTCAGACCATATCTCATGCAGACTAGTCCTGTACAGAGGAGGAAAAAAAACTGTCATTCCGTTACAATTCAGTAACATAACATGAAATCATGTGATTAGTGTAACAATTTTTATTTTTAATCCCTAGTTTAAATGTCTACAAAACGCTCTGTGTTTACTTTGATGTGCGTTTGTCCTCCTAGCATGCTGCACAGCCGCGCCTTGGGCGACCAGGGCCAGATGAAGGAAGAGATGGAAACACTCAGGAGGGACAGCGCCCAACTCGTCCGAGAGCACAACCACCTGAAGCAGAATTGTGAGGAGCTCAAGCGACTGCACAGTCAAGACCAAAAAGAGTTGTCAGACCTTCGACTTCAGCAACAGCAGGTGCAAGTGAATATGAGTGTTTGCTGGTGCTATTTAGATTAGATTTTATTACTAGGGTGAATATTGTTTTTATGAGCTAAGATTTTATACGTATTTTTCAACCCTTTTTGTCCTGTTTGTTGCTTTGAAATCGTAGTCCTAAATAGCACACCGGTGTTGTGACTGGTGCTGTATTACACTGAAGTTGTGTCTCACACGGCGCCCACGGGGACACTGCAGTAGTTATAAGCACAGGGCAGCAAAGCAGAGAGGGAGAGATGCACCCAGAGCATTTCTGAAAAGGGCAAGCACAAAAGAAAAGGGCTTGGCTTTGGCAAAGGGCACACTGACCCAAAGCATGTAGCTGCAAGATCAGTGTATATAAGCTATATGTTGCAGAGCTGAGGTCAATACAGCCCTCGGGTCACGGCAGCTCTCAGAGGAATAGGGAAGACTATCAGCAAGAGCTGCAGGAGAGTTACAGAATTATTAATGTAGTCTGAAGGACAAAGACTGTAGATAAACAGCTTTTTTTCATAAGCTGGCCATTTCAATTTCAGATGTAGAAATATGTTTAAAATGATGAAACAAAATTTCATTCACTTCAAAAATGCAACCCTATAATGTACAGTAACGCCATCTGCTGCTAACATAAGGGACAACAAATACAAACAATTTGGACACTCTGAAAGCTTGGTTATGGTTAATGTATTCACTTTTTTGTTGTCTGCATCAGGTAATGAGAGAAAAAGGCTCATCAGAGGTGTTAAATAAGCTATATGAAACAACGATGGACAAGCTGGAGGGTGTGAAGAAGGACTACGATGCCCTGAGCAAGCGCTACAGTGAGAAGGTGGCCAGTCATAACACAGACCTGAGCCGCCTGGAGCAGGCAGAGGAGGAGAACCGGAGGCTGCAGAAGCAGATGGATGCTGTACTGAAACAGAGAGACTCAGCCATGCATTACCAGCAGCAGTACTCTACCTCTGTGAGGAGGTAAGGCCACACACTCACCTGGCAGACAATATGATGGAGAAGTGGGAAGGGTGTGGTTTGTTAAACGGAGGTTTGATGCAACAGAACCAAACTTGTAGTGGTCAAACTGCAGCCCTCAGTGTAGTCTGATATGACCATTTTATGCTCTCGTTTTCACTCGCTGCTCATTTAGGTTTGACTCGGTGCAGCAGGAGCTGAACAAGTCCTCGGCTCAGAACAAGGAGCTACAGAGAGAAATGGAGCGACTGCAGGCGGAGGTGAGGCGCTACAAGAACCTGCAGCTGAAGACAGCGAAGGATTGCGAGAAGTTCAAGGAGGAGAGGGACTCCGTGTTCAACGAGTATCGTCTCATCATGAGCGAGAGGGACCAGGTGATCAAGGAGCTGGACAAGTTGCAGACTGAACTGGAGGCAGCAGAAGCCCGACTGAAGAACACGTCATCAGAGAGGGTTGTAGCCAGTGAGGAGCTGGAGGCACTCAGACAGGTATCAGAACGGTCTCGACTGCACATCTCAGCTGTGAGGGAGGTTACTGATCTGTTATTAAAACACAGTGTTGTGGATAATACTTGTCAGTAATAATCAGCAGAATATTAATGACAAATGTCTGAAGCAATGCAAAACCAGTTTTCATCTCATGACTTTCTCTCTTGCTCATTTTCTTAAATTTGCAGTTTTCTGTACAATATTTTTTTTGTCTGTTCTATAAATGACTTTGTGTTGAGACGTCCTTGTTTCTTCCCGGCTAACGTTGTTCTTGTGCAGGAGCTGAACTCGTCCCTGGTGGACCGCGACAGGGCCATCTGTGAGAGGAACGAGCTACTGGAGAAGTACTGCCACGAAGTGAAGGACAAAGCAGAAGCCCAGAAGGAGCTGAGCCAGGCCTGCAAAGACATCGAGATGGTCCGGGAGGAGAGAGACGTGGCCCGAAAGGAGAGGACGGAGGCCATCGTTCAAAGGGATCAGCTCCTCCGAGAATACTATCAGGCCAGACAAGTAAATATGCAACGCTCCCCTGAAAAATCACTGAAAGTATCTGTTGATTTCTTTATGGTTCGTTTTTTTGACCTCTTCTGTTATCTCTGTCGTTACTTATAAATCAAAGTCTTTACTAAGTTAGCCAAGCACAGATTGCCAGGTAGAGATAAATCACATAAGTGGAGTGTTTCTGGATCACTGATCTGTTTCATCTGATAGTAACTTCTTCAGTGGTTAAACAGGTGCTCAATCAAGACATTTAAATAGAAAACAAAACCACCTAGATACAAAACTTGTTTCTATGATGCTGTTAGAAACAAGACTCCGCTACCCTGGACATGGAGCGAGCCAATAAGGAGATCGAGGTGCTAAGGAAGCAGTACGAGGCCATGTCCCAGGAACTGAAGGAGGCCACACAGGAAGCTGAGGTGGCCAAATGTCGAAGGGACTGGGCCTTCCAAGAGAGGGACAAAATAGTAGCAGAGAGGGAGAGCATAAGGTCAGTATGTGCTATCTGAATCCTACACACACACACACACACACACACACACACACACACACACACACACACACACACACACACACACACACACACACACACACACACACACACACACACACACACACACACACACACACACACACACGCACACACACACAACGCTTTTTTTGCTCATTTTCGCACCATCTGCTTTGTGTCCCTCCCCAGGACTCTGTGCGACAACTTACGGCGAGAAAGGGACCGGGCAGTCAGCGACCTGGCTGACGCGCTGCGTAACTTGGACGACATGAGGAAACAGAAGAACGACACACTGCGAGAGCTGAAAGAGCTAAAGTCAGTCTCCACTTTCAGGGCCTTTGTTGTGCTGTTAGGGTGCAGAGCATATGTTTGAGAAAGCTCCCAGTTTCCCTCCATCTCCTTCATGCCTTTCTCCTGTGCTGCATTGGGCTCTGAGCCGTTATGGAGCTCGGTTGTTTTTTGGCAACACTTCCATTTACCCAGATTAAAGTTTAATCCCGGAAAGCATTAGTGTTTTGAGCACACATAAACATTTTATCTCCCACTGGCTCTGATTCTCAGTTTTATACCGTGTGTGAAACCTCCATCTGCTGGCCAAAGTGTGTACGACGACCATTAGGCTGATTTTAGAAGCTTTATTTTATCATCACGACTACAACCAGTGGTGTTTATGTAGCTTGTTTGTGTTTTCTGTAGATTACATTCTGCAGTGACTTTGCAAGTTCCTCTTTCGTCTTTAAGGGATGCCATACCTTTGGGGCTTGAATGTCACTACAGCCCTGTAGGCAGGCCTCAGTAGGACACCATACATCTTACTGACAAAGACTGTGAAGAGCACTCTACTTTTAGTGTTCTTCTGATATAAATATATATTGCATCTCCTAGTCCATGAAGGACAGTGGGATATTTTAAACTTGAAGCCTTATTTAACACACTTTCAAGCATCTATTATTTTACGTAGCCTATTGCATTCAGTTGGAAAATGAGCTGTTTTTCTGAAATAATGAGATAATTATAAAAAATGTCCCTCTTCTGTGTTTTAATGAGAGGGTGTTCTGAGCCTGTAGGCAAAGAGGAACTCAAACACATCCTGTTTTTTGAGATTTTACAACTTTACTTTGCTTTGGGATGAGACGCTGGGAAATACTGTTGTCTCTAAACTATGTGGATGAGATGATTATTATTAGTTTGTCCACTTTGCTCAGACGCCAGAGAGATTTGTACCTGTTCAAGAGTACAGCCCCATCGGCTCTTCTATCCAAAGTAGTGTGCACATTCCTTTCCTCTATAATTCTGTCTTAGGAGAATGTTTGAGCGATACTCAAGGACTGGGACAGTTTATGCTGTTTATTCAGAAAAACAGAGCTTTTAAAAAATTCAGCCGAATGCAATACATTTCTGAAAAATCTTATCAGTTTGCTTTTGTAGTCTGAATGTGCGTGAGCAACCTTTAACTCTGTCCTCCTTTTTAAGGGAAAAGATTGAGAGCCAGCTGGAGAAGGAGGCCCGGTTCTGTCAGTTAATGGCTCACAGTTCTCATGACTCTGCCATCGACACCGACTCCCTGGAGTGGGAGACGGAGGTGGTGGAGTTTGAGAAGGACCGGGTAAGAACGGGACTCGAGGAGGTGATGTATTCTCCCTACGTTTATTTTTTCTCTGAATGAATGAACTTTGACGCCTTTGTCTTCATAGGATGACATGGATTTGAAAGCGCTTGGGTTTGACATTGCTGAGGGGGTAAATGATCCATATTTACCTGGAGATTGTGGGATATTTGTTACAAGGGTGGATAAAGGAAGTATTGCAGATGGAAGGTTAAGGTATGAACTTCCTGTCCTTTTTTCTAGATGAAGAGTTTTTTTCCCACCTGAACTCATTGTTTGTTCTTTTTTTGTATGTCAGAGTGAATGATTGGTTATTGAAGATTAATGATGTGGACTTGACCAACAAGGACAGGAAGCAGGTGGTGAAGGCTGTCCTCAATGGAGGAGGATTGATCAACATGGTGGTACGAAGGAGGAAATCTCTGGGTGGGAGGATGGCCACTCCTGTTCACATCAACCTGACGGGCCATAAAGGTCTCTCAGGGTTCAATTATTCATTCCATTTGTTTTCTACAGCTTTTGGTCTTATGTTATTTTATATTTAACATTTTGTGATCCTTTTTACCTCTCTTTGTAACCAGATTGTGGTATTGGTCTGGAAAGTGGGCTGTTTGTCACTGCCATTGTCCAGGGGAGTCCTGCAGCCAGGGAGGGCTCTCTCACAGTTGGAGACAGACTGATTGCGGTGAGTTGTTTTCTACCACTATAAAATTCTGTTTTAGCACTTCTGTTCTCCACGTCTGCAGTTAGCTCAGACTCGCTCCGCTTTTTAATCCAGACATTGATCCATTCCAGTATCCACACTCTCAACCAGATAAGGCGAGATTTAGTCAAGCAAGTGAAGCAGAAGGAGGAAAGACTCCACCTTTTTTAAATCCCCCCCCAAATCTGCTGCTCTAGAGTTTAGGTCGAGCCGACTGTGGAAGTGTGGTTGTAGTTTACCCTCATGTAAAAAAAACAGGGAGAGAAGTGTCAGAAGGCTCTAAAAGGGGTGGAAACATGACCCTGTACGCAGCATTAAGCGATCAGTGGCTTCAAACCATTTTTGGTTTAAACTTAATTTGGAAAACCAAGCATTCCTTCTAAGTCAATTGAGCAAAGCGCTTCAGTGTCCTGCAAAACCTAGGCTACGTTCACACTGCAGGCAAAGTGCATCAAATCCGCTTTTTTTCCCCACATGCGGCCCATATCTGATTTTTTTATGACGGTCTGAACCGCACAGATCTGAATTATTTCAAATGCGATCTGTGTCACTTGATTATGTCATTTAAACACATATTTGATGTTTTTGAAAGTGACTGCAGTCTGAACGGTCATGTCGTGTTAAATCCGTCTCCTACGCCAGTGGTTCCTAACCTGGGGGGTCCCGACCCCCACAAGGGGGCGCCAAAGCCTCTCACTGGGTCGCCAGGACCTCTCCACTTTAAGGGGTTAAAACTTCATTTATTACTTGTTTATAGCCTACATTTTGCTCACATTTTTTTTTCATGCGTGAAAAGTTTACTGATATTAAGACAGGAAATAATTAGTACAGAAAAAGTAACACACTTTTAAGAACATTTTGCTCAGCTCTGTTTTATTTTCAAGTGTCAAAAGTTCATTACAGATAGGAATGGTTGATCAATCACAGCCTTTACAGTAAATAATCTAGTATAAACAGTAATATACCCATTTAAGTACATTTTGCTCAGTGTATTTTTTATGTGTCAAACGTTTATTGAAAGGAATGATAGATTTATCAGTGTTTACAAGAAACAATGTGTTCAGAAAAGTAATACAAACTGTCAAGCACATTATGCTCTGTTTGGTTTTGTTAATGACTTTGTTCTGTACTGGAGCCTATACTATTACTGTTATCTATTGAATCAAAGCATATTAAAATGTGCTTGAACAATTTTATCATTTCTTAATAATGTTTTTTACTGGAAGAGAGAATGGGAGGGGGTCGTCAAAAATTTTACTGGTAAAAAACGGGGTCCCTTGGGAAAAAGGTTGGGAACCACTGTCCTACGCCGCTGAGTCAGCGGAGGTGAGTGTTGTGTGTGGATGCTCCTGAGGAGAAGCGCTGACATAAGGGATCAAGAGTCTGTCTGGACATCCTGTTTTAAGTTTAGGAATTAAAAATACAGGAGAGAATGAGAACGGGAGCAGGAGGTGCTGCTGGAGCGAAGCATCTCACCGGTCTTCGTGAATGGAGGGAGGCGGGTCTCCGTGATTGAATTAATACCGGAACATTTTCAGTGAATAATAATTCAGGAAGACGGCGGGAACATGGACTAAAATGGGTTACAGTTTTGAAAACAGTTTCGAGTCCAAAACAGAAGAATTAACAGGTGTGATCCTGATCCTGTGGATAAACTGTCAGTGAAAACGTTCACATCACAACTCGAGCAGGGTGTTGCGCGACTCTGCCGGTCCTGGTTTTGGCTAAGTGTGACTTCTTTTCTTCTGCGCATGCGGGTCGCTTTAGGGCCATGAAGCGTTCACACTGGAGAGAGTTTGATGTCGCATTTCAGTCAGTGTGAACAGTCACACAAAGTGATCGGATTTACACCAAAAAATCGGAATTGAGCATCAAGGCCTGCAGTGTGAACGTAGCGATCGATTTGTTGAGTTAATCCAATGCACGGTCACATTTCCCCATACATGTTAATTATGAAGGTTTACTCATTTTTGCATCTGAGTCTAGCCTGTAAATAAACATTTTCTGTTGCTTACATGCAAATGGTTTTGGCCCATTTCAGGTTAAAGTAGTAAGTTATTTCCTATAATCTCCTGCTGTAAAATTTCCCACCTTGCTCTTTAATATATCTGATAGAAAAAAAGTTTATTCCCATATTCAGATGGGATGGGATGGGATGAAAGTAGCTGGATTTGAGTGTGAGGGTGGATGTGATGCTCTTTCTCTGTCTTACTCTGAGGCCTGAGTATATTTGTGGTTGAGCTCATGCAAACATGCTGTTGAATGACCTGTCCTTATTTCCAACCTGTCTGTGCAGATCAATGGAATTGCTCTTGATAATAAGTCTGTGACCGAGTGTGAAGCTTTGTTGAGGAGCTGCAGGGACTCTCTCAGCCTTTCTCTCATGAAGGTGAGACAGTTCTGCGTGTTCACAAAGTGTTTTTTCTTTCTCGACCTTCTCTACAGTTACCTAATGCACCTTGGAGATGTTGATTTCTTTTCCCCATAGTTTTTCCCTCACAGCACATCAGGTCAGAACATTTTTGAGGGTCTGCGTGAGTCATCTGAGAAGTCCAATGGGCGAGTTCACCTGTCGGAGATCCACTCCAGGAATGGCCGCAACCTCAAACACAACAGCTCGACGCAGACTGACATCTTCTGCCCTGACGTCGCAAGTGCTAGTTCAAGTAGCGTCTCTGGGGAAAGGAGGAAGGTCAGAGGTGAATTTGATGAGATGTGCGGCAACGTGAGCAAGCCGTTCTCCACAGGTTCCCTCCATGCCACTAGCCTCTGGCCAGTAACAGATTTAGGAACTGGCCGTTACGGGCCCAGTGCTTTCCAAGAGTGCTGCTCTTATGCAAAAGGGCCTTCCTCCTTACCCTTTGAGCCCGTCTCCCGCTCAGACTGCATCAGTATGGAAACGACCCTGGAGAAGAAGCACAGTGGGGGCACCTGGCCCAAGATGATGGTAGGAGGTATGTCGGTCGCACCAGACGGTTCCAGTCCAGTCCCAGCAGGTACCCCACTCTCCATCTTTAAATCACCCAAGCAGAGAAAGTCCATCTTTGACCCGGACACTTTCAAATGCCCCGAAACTCCCTCCTCCAAAATGGAGTACATGGCAGCCAATCAGATAGCAGCAGTAGCTGCTGCAGCAGCTTGTCACTCGCCGCAGCCTTCAAAGACAGAGTCCCTCTCCTCCTCCTCCTCAACCCCCACCCCAACACCTCCAACTCCTCCCACCCGCAGTGACTCCTTTAAGTTCAAACACAAACATCAAAGCAGCTCCACCTCTGACTGCACCATCACTTCAGATGGCAAAGGAGAGGCTGCCGTCTCCAAGGCAGCAGGAGAGACCAGAGACAGAAGCGAACGAGAAAGAGACCGGAATGGAAACCACTATTTCCTGGAAGGAAAGGTCCTGACCTCTAGAAAGTCATGCGACGAGGACATCGGCCGCACCAGAGGGGAGGAGTCAGAGGTGAAGAGACCTCGTCCCAAATCTGCTCCTGCTCTTCGACGTAGGATGACCCCACAGACCATCACGCTTCCCTCCTTCCAAGTGAGTCAATTTATCACGAATCTCAAATCTATAGTGCATCTAATTCCGCTTCCTCTTGATGAGTGTAAAGTATTTTAGGCAGGGCTTAATTTGAGCCGGAACAAGATCCGGAAACTATCTTATTTTGAAAGGACCGTTCCGGCAACTGTCTGCTAGGATCCGGCAACTCACGCAACAAACTTGTGCTATACGCAGGATTTGAATTACGGGTGAGCTAGGGAGCTCCTGGAAGCCCTCAACACACCCAGGGGGGAGCCCAAAAACGATCCTGGTTCTACTTATATTAAATGATCTATGTGGACTCTGGGGATTATTTAGAGCTGAGAGGAGCAGAGCTCTGATCGTCGATGCGCTCCAGACAGATGCGTCCTGAGCACGGCCACAGCAACATTATCAAAGTGTCGCCACCTCAAAAACATTTAACACGTGATTGTTTATGTCGGCTCATATCCTTTCATGCTTTCTGTCTTTTACTTGTGCCTGATGCGTTTTGCTGCTGCTATGCAGAACGCATCAACTGTTTCGTCCTCCGGAGATTTCTCCGCACCGGTGCGGTCAACGCACGGTGCGCACTCCTCTATATTTGCGGTCGGTAGATCTTTTTGAACTGCAGTTCAAAGGTAACTCATGAGGTGAAAATATGAAGCCAGGTAGCAGTTTTTCTTTAGAATTGAGAGGAGATGCAGGAAGATAATAAACAGGATAGAAAAATGGTCAAATAAAAACCAGTTAGTTTTTGTACCTCGTGGTTGCAACAAACAGACACCATTGAAGGTCATCAGAAGTGAGGAACAGAAAATGAAATAATTATTTTAATGTTTAGAGCAGCAGGAACTCTGAGAGGCTGCAGGCACATCAGTGAGTTTGTGGCCGCTGTGCAGGGGGAGGGGGGAGAGGGCTGAAGCAGGGGAACAGTAAAGATGCAAAAACTACCGTTGTTGAAAGAGATGTGTGTTAACTTAGAAAATGTGGGTACAATTTTAATGACTTGTCCCCCCGTGCTTGTTCCGGCATCTGTCTTGCCTTTAGTGAACTTTGGTTTGACGTCAGTATTTGCGTTCCAGGAAGGTTTGATTTACAAATGAAGCACTGACTTAAGGTTACAGGTTTCTCTGACTTTAAAAGCTTAATGCAGGAAATATCATAGCTAGGTTTTGAGTCCAGTCAGCCAAAGTATTCATTTAGTAGTAAAATGTATTGGCTGTCGCCGGGTTAAGCCTGTGAGATTTGCCTCTTGGCCAGCGTGTCGGAGTGATTGATGCTCTAGTACTCGTAGATACCCAGCTGAGTCAGAACCTGGCTTCCAGGCCATATGTCCACTGACTTCACTTCACCCCGGAGCATCCAGGGGACCCAGAGTGGAGAAATGTTCATTTTACTTTTGCATGATGTTTATGTTGTGATTTTTTCTTATGAAAATATTTAAAAACAAAATTATCTTAGACCTACTGTTTATAATTCATCACAGAGCTACTCCAACGATGAGCATTCTCCAGAGCCCAGGGACATGCTGCGTTCTTCTCCCAGCCGTTCTCATAGACACAGCGTTGGCTTCGTCCCTACGGTCTATAACGGCACCCTACCTCCAAGTGAGAGTCTCCCCCTTTTTAAATGCCTAACCATGCCCAGCATCATCACAGATTCATGGTTCTCTAACGTGGAGGTTTGACTGTGATTTCTCAGATTCAGCCCACCGTGGGCTGTCTCCTTGCCCTGCGGTGACGGCTGTGATGAGGAACCCTGTGTATACTGTGCGCAGCCACCGCGTTCACACTACAAACTGTCCATCTGTTGCATCTCAGATCTGTCATCAGCACACCCACACCAGGTACCTCTGTTCTGAAACCATAGTGTCTGATTTATCTTTCTAATTTTCCATTTAATATTCAGAAAGTGGTTTACAATCAGCTGGAGTTAAAACTCGTACTCGTCGAGTCTTGAGCACACTTCTTCATCGTTTGTTGCCACGTTCTCTGGCACCAGCTGCCGTTCTAAATTGATATTGATGTTTCGCACCAATGCTGTTCTGATGAGTCTTTTTAATCAAACTTTATTTTTAAATTACTTATTTTCCCAAAGGCAGAATCACTAATTAAACTGACAGCTATGCTTTTATGTAGTGCTGTTGTGATTTGGCTCAGCCTACCAGTTTGGATGTCTCTTAAGAGTAAAAGAATAACCGTCCGTATGAACAAAAGTAACTTTAATGTACATCTATGCAGCCCACAACACCAGGGTCATCTGAGCCTGGATCTGAGCCAGCAGAAACGTGCAAATGACTACCCAGAGTCCTCCTCGTCACGCAGCAGCAGAGCTTCACACGGTACAAACTCACTGCCCTCCAGCGCATGGCTCGGTCAGTCTGACACGCACGCATAAACACACGCACACATGCCAAGGCCCTAAGACTCCATCCTGCTTTGACTTTCAGAATGTTGTTGCAAAGGGCTAATTTTTGGACGTGATCTCTCTCCAGGGTCTTCCAGTAATGTCCAGTACCGCACAGAGAGGATCAAAATTCCCTCCACTCCTCGTTACCCCCGATCCATGCTGGGTTCGGATAGAGGTATTGTACCTCATAATGCAACACATTTTTTACTGGCATAAAAATACTTTATTTTTTTTAGATCTACTTGTAACCTCCTGCTTTGTCAAGTCATCTATGAAACCCGAAAGAAAACGCACGACTTTAAAATGACAAGAACAGAACAGACTCAAAGAAAAAGTTTTATAAGTAGTGTGTGTGTCAGAAAAACATAACATACTGGCTTACCCAAAGAATAAAACACCTAAACACAAGCAGAGTAGTGCCATAAACACAGTCCTGGTTAATGACCAGTGTACATACCCCCATGCAGGGCTGGGTGATAAATCTATCCCGTCTCATCTCGTCTTCTTCCACCTATCCCCTTCCGGGTCACGGGGGCAGCATCCCAACTAGGGAGTTCCAGACCGTCCTCTCCCCAGCCACCTCCACCAGCTCCTCTGGCAGGGCCCCAAGGCGTTCCTGGGCCAGATTGGAGATGTACTTTCTCCAACATCTCCTGGGTCGACCAGGGGGCCTCCTGCCGGTGGAACATGCCTAAAACACCTCCATGGGGAGGCGTCCAGGAGGCTTCCTAACATGATGCCCAAACCACCTCAACTGACTCCTCTCGATATAGAGGAGCAGCGGCTCTACTCCGAGTCTCTCCCGAATGTCCGTGCTCCTCGCCCTATCCCTAAGGCTGAGCCCAGCCACCCCGTGGAGAAAACTCATTTTGGCCGCTTGTATCCGCGATCTTGTTCTTTCGGTCATTACCCAAAGCTCATGACCATAGGTGAGGACTGGGCGGTGTATCGTCTGGTAAATCGAGAGCCTTGCTTTCCGGCTCAGCTCCTTCTTCACCACAACAGACCGGTTCAGCATCCGCATCACTGCAGACGCTGCCCCAATCCGCCTGTCGATCTCCTGCTCCCTCCTTCCCTCGCTCGTGAACAAGACCCAGAGATACTTTAACTCCTCCACCTGAGGCAGGACCTCTCTCCCGACACGGAGCTGGCAAGCCGCCCTTTTCTAGTCGATCTTATCCATTATTTTGAATTTCCTGTTCAGGAAGATTTCATTGAGCTAACCAAAACATTAGCAAACTGAAATAACTGACAGATAATAGATATCCTCACCGTGTCTGATACGTAACATACAAATGCTTTTATGGTCACTGGAAGATGTAAACGAAACCATGTAGGTGTTGGTGTTTAGCATAGCTGCATTCCAAGCATTAGCCTGATCCGGGTTCGGCTGAAGAAACTGACGCAGCAACAGCTGTTTCTGTGTCAGTACTAGTGTTAGTTTGGCTAATAGAAAAGTGATTTTCTACATATCAGTGGAGACATTTAAATGCCCATTTGAAATGATCTGACTCTAAATTTTTCTAAGGAATAATGTGGACAGCTTTAATTATAATATCAAGATTTACAAGCAGGTTTTACAGCTTGTGTTTAGTTAGACTTTCAGTTCAGGTCAACTCCCAGAAGGGATGATTAAAATAAAAGCACATTTTAAAAATGTTATTCTGTTATTTGTTATTTCGGTTTAAGACAGTAAAGGGAAAAAAATCTAATAAAGTTGGAAATCGAAATGAAAAACATTTCAATCTGAGATTTTATTTAGAAACCATATCACCCAGCTCTACCCCCTTATAAACAACAACCTAGCAAATTCACTTCACAGCACAAGAGAACACGCTCCATAGGTGTCCACCTACATCTCAAGTACAAGGGACACCATGTTAGGGACAGTTTGAGGTGACCTCTGGCTTCGTCCATCCTACAGAGGGGCCTCGATTCTCCTCTCCTGGTAGTTTCACAAGCAAGTGGCTGTAAACAAATCACAAAGGCTCAAAAGTAAAAAAGGAACATGTCCAGGGTTCTGTAGTCTGTACAAACCTAAAAAGAAGGTGGAACCATCATGCTTTTTGTTCCGCGTGATATCAGTTGTTGAAACAGAAAAAAGAACCTTTACAAGTCGTGTGCGGCTGTAACTAGTAACTTAATTGTTATCCATAAAGCAGTGGCACAATAAAATAAAACATCAAACGTAAACATTTTCTTAAACTCTCTTTCCTTAAACCCAGGTTCCCTCTCACACTCCGAGTGTAGCAGCCCCAGCCTCATCACGCCGCCACAGTCGCCGCTTAATCTGGAGACTTCCTCGTTTGCCAGCAGCCAATCACAAGGCTCCATTTCCACTCTGCCCCGGATCTCAGTCAGTCCTGTGCAAATAGGGGAGCGCAGGAAAGATAGGTATGATCCAGAGGATTTTTCACACCTGAGCTGCATGCTGTCGCTGTTGTTGTGTGGTAAATGCATTTGTTGACTCGTAAGTATTTAGTTCCTTCCACACGCGGATGACCTTTTTAGAATTGAAATCTAGTTTTTTTAGCGGAAGTAGCGCAAATATTTTTATAGTTACTCCCAGGATATTTCAAAGGGTGTTGCTCATTTAATAAATAATGTTGAGTAGAAATTTTAAAAACCTTTGAGTTTGCTGGAATAGTTTTTCATCCATTGGTCCAACGTTTGTGTCCCATGCTGTACTGACAATACGTCTCAAGCTTTGACTCTTTACTGTCTCTGTATCATATCTGTCCCCCATTCTTCTCTCTATCTTCCTCCCGCCTCTGTGCAACCCTCCGCTTCCAGATCTCTTTATCGTAATCGCTCTTTTCTAAGGATTCCTCTGGCTGCGAGGCCGAGGTTCTCCTCACTCAGGAGCCTCAGGTTTGTTCTCCCTCACAGTGCTACAAACTGAGGAATGCCTCCCCACCCCCAATCTTCACACTGTTCACGAGCTTTAGAGCAGATGAGGTGGTAGATAGATTGTGGCGAAGCAGAACACTCTTTTGCAGTTCATGTGCCCTCTGTGGAATTCTAAAAGAGGTTTAGTGATGTTTCACTACCCACCCCAACAGAGCGCGTTCACTTGGAGAGATGTATTAATGTTTATTATTGCATGCAACAGTTTAGGTTTTACCCAAAGATGTTCATAAACTTTGATTAGCCACACTCTGAACTTCAAAGGTTCATTGTTATTCGTGTGCCTGCCCATTGAATCTCAGTGCATGTACCATTCATGCTGTATGGTGACAAAACTGTTTGCATGCATGCCTAAAGCCAAGTTACCCATGAGTCTGCACTATGAATGTTATGCAATGTATCATCCAACATGCAGCTTCTGGGTCATGGTCTTGCCTGTGCACTCCCACTCTTTACCTCAGGGGGAAATGCTTTACAGTCAGAGACTATCTGCCTATAGGACACCCAAAGGCATGTCCAAACCTTGTTATGAAGATGCACAGAGTTCTCTTTCACGTGAAATTATTTTTTTCCTTTGCTCGTGTGCTTTAATTGTTCTCATTATATTCATATACTGAGCTCTACAGCTGTTTCACTTTTAAATAAGGTGATAATCTTGATAAGCCACATGGGGTGTTAAACTTTAAGTTCAGGCTTTGTTTGAACCACAGCATTCTGTTTAAAGTGTTTAATATTTTAGCCAGATGATATTTCCAGCAACAGCCTGGATGGTGAGCGACTCCCCAGAGCTGTAAATAAATAGCCGAGCCCAGCGGGGATAATGTCACATCACCTTTTTACCCCCTTTTTTTTTCTTCTTCTCGTGTGGTATCCCAGAGCTGCATCCTTGTGAGGTTGCTCATTAATGCAGATTCCTCTTTCCCACCAGACCATACTTGGAGGAACCACGCAATGTTATTGTGCACAAAGGTGCAGAGCCCCTGGGCATCTCCATCGTCAGCGGGGAGAATGGAGGCATCTTTGTCTCTAAAGTTACTGGAGGTAGCATCGCCCACCAGGCTGGCTTGGAGTATGGAGACCAATTACTGGAGGTATGAACAACCCACTGAATGTCACTAACACTCTAGCCTCAAGCAGCATGAATGTCAGATGTCTGGAAGAACTCGATTTGCTCCAGATCGTTTAAAAAATAACTTAATTACTTAGAGAACTTGATTTTGTTGTGGTTTTAGAAATGAATCAATGTTGAAACTTTGTTTTTGTTTGCTTGTCATTGGACAAGTTCAAAATACCTCCAGTTCTTTTCTGTGGCTAATGTTATAATAGTTTATTAACAATGACGTTAACCTTATTTGTGACTCTGCAGAAAACAAAATCTAACTTCGTCAACCACTCCTCCAAAAGAGAGAAAACAGCACAGAAGTGTAAAAGAAATGTGACCGTAGAAACAGCATTGATTACATGGACAGTTATGATTCTATTTCAGTATATTTTTGGTGAAAAAAATAACTTAGTTCATTAAATGAAATATTTTCTGAAATTGTGAACTTACACTTACTTTACCTTTAAATTCAGCAATCAAAATGACTGCTCAAGGCCTATTTAGTAGTGAGAGAACCACGTCACTACCTCACTACTTCACTACTTACTACATACCATATAAGGTGGCCCTTGTAGTGGTAAAGTTACAATCTGGAGGTTATTTTTTTATCCAACACCACCATCTAGAGGCTGACAAATGTATCACACCTATTTATGGCCGAAAACAACACTTCTCATTTGTGAACATGCACTTGTAGTCGGTCAGCACAGCTAAAACACATTGTTTAAATATAAATATGTATATATATATGTATATATATATATATGTATATATATATATATGTATATACAGTGGGGCAAAAAAGTATTTAGTCAGCCACCGATTGTGCAAGTTCTCCCACTTAAAATGATGACAGAGGTCAGAAATGTTCATCATATGTACACTTCAACTGTGAGAGACAGAGTGTGAAAAAAAATCCATGAATTCACATGGTAGGATTTTTAAAGAATTTATTTGTAAATCAGGGTGGAAAATATGTATTTGGTCACTTCAAACAAGGAAAATCTCTGGCTCTCACAGACCTGTAACGTCTTCTTTAAGAAGCTTTTCTGTCCTCCACTCGTTACCTGTATTAATGGCACCTGTTTGAACTCATTATCTGTATAAAAGACACCTGTCCACAGCCTCAAACAGTCAGACTCCAAACTCCACTATGGCCAAGACCAAATCTACAATCTACAATAGGCAAGCAGCTTGGTGTGAAAAAATCAACTGTGGGAGCAATTATCAGAAAATGGAAGACATACAAGACCACTGATAATCTCCCTCGATCTGGGGCTCCACGCAAGATCTCATCCCGTGGGGTCAAAATGATCATGAGAACAGTGAGCAAGAATCCCAGAACCACATGGGGGGACCTGGTGAATGACCTGCAGAGAGCTGGGACCATAGTAACAAAGGTCACCATCAGTAACACTCTACAACGGCAGGGAATCAAATCCTGCAGTGCCAGACGTGTTCCGCTGCTGAAGCCAGTGCATGTCCAGGCCCGTCTGAAGTTTGCCAGAGAGCACAGGGATGATACAGCAGAGGATTGGGAGAATGTCATGTGGTCAGATGAAACCAAAGTAGAACTTTTTGGTATAAACTCAACTCGTCGTGTTTGGAGGAAGAAGAATACTGAGTTGCATCCCAAGAACACCATACCTACTGTGAAGCATGGGGGTGGGAACATCATGCTTTGGGGCTGTTTTTCTGCTAAGGGGACAGGACGACTGATCCGTGTTAAGGACAGAATGAATGGGGCCATGTATCATGAGATTGTGAGCCAAAACCTCCTTCCATCAGTGAGAGCTTTGAAGATGAAACGTGGCTGGGTCTTCCAACACGACAGTGATCCCAAACACACCGCCCGGGCAACAAAGGAGTGGCTCCGTAAGAAGCATTTGAAAGTCCTGGAGTGGCCTAGCCAGTCTCCAGACCTCAACCCCATAGAAAATCTGTGGAGGGAGTTGAAAGTCCGTGTTGCTCGGCGACAGCCCCAAAACATCACTGCTCTCGAGAAGATCTGCATGGAGGAATGGGCCAAAATACCAGCTACTGTGTGTGCAAACCTGGTAAAGACCTATAGTAATCGTTTGACCTCTGTTATTGCCAACAAAGGTTATGTTACAAAGTATTGAGTTGAATTTTTGTTGTTGACCAAATACTTATTTTCCACCCTGATTTACAAATAAATTCTTTATAAATCCTACCATGTGAATTCATGGATTTTTTTTCACATTCTGTCTCTCACAGTTGAAGTGTACCTATGATGTAAATTACTGACCTCTGTCATCATTTTAAGTGGGAGAACTTGCACAATCGGTGACTGACTAAATACTTTTTTGCCCCACTGTATGTATATATATGTATGTATGTATATATATGTATTTATATATATCTATGCATACATATATGTATATATATATATGTATGCATATATATATATGTGTGTGTGTGTATATGTATGTATATGTATATATATGTGTATGTGTGTGTGTATATGTATGTATATGTATATATATATATATATATATATATATATATATATGTACACACACATACATAAATAGGTGTGATATATTGTGGACCCTCTGCGGGTGTTCTCATTCTTCCAAGCTCGGGTCCTCTACCAGAGACCTGTTCCTAAAACTGCACTTTTCTTGACTGAGATGTCTGATGTTTTTCCTGGGATCTGCTTTTGCCACTCCTCCAGTCTGGGGGTTACTGCCTCAAGTGCACTGTTGACCACGGGCACCACTGATGTCTTCACTCTCTGGGCTTTCTCAAAGTGTTCATTGAGGCCCTGGTACTTCTCTAGTTTCTCATGTTCCTTTTTCCTGATGTTGCATCACTTTGTATTGCCACATCAAACACAACAGCTGTCCTCTGTTGTTTGTCCACCACCACCACAATGTCTGGTTGGTTTGCCATCACCATTTTATCAGTCTGGATCTGGAAGTCCCAGAAGAACTTGACTCACTCATTCTCAACCACCTTAGGGGGTGTTACCCACTTTGACCATGGGGCTTCCAGTCCATTCTCTGCACACATGTTTCTGTACACTATACCAGACACTTGGTTGTGGCGTTCCATCAATGCTTTCCCTGTCAGCATCTTACACCTAGCAGTTATGTGGTGGATTGTCTCAGGGGCCTCTTTGCATAGCCTACACCTTGGGTCTTGTCTGGTGTGGTAGATCTTGGCCTCTGCTGTCCTTCACACCAGCTCTTTCTACCCATTGGTAGGATTTCTTGATATCCGCCACTTCAGTTATCTGTCTGTGGTACATCCCATGGAGGGGTTTGTCCTCCCACAATGGTAGTTGCAGGATCTCTTCCTCTGTTCGCCATTGTCTGAGACTTTCACTAAGCACGTTATCTGTTGGTGCATTGTCCTTGATGTACTTATGGATCTTAGATGTTTCGTCCTGGACAGTGGCTCTCACACTCACTAGTGCTTGGCCTCCTTCCTTATGGCTAGTGTACAGTCTGCGGGTGCTGCATTTTGGATGGAACCCTCCATGCATGGTTAGGAGCATCCGTGTCCCAATATCTGGGGTCTGTATCTCTTCCTTCGGCCAGCTTATTATTCCTGCAGGATATCTGATTACTAGCAGGGCGTAGCGGTTGGTTGCCCCGATCCTGTTTTAGCCATTGTGCTGCCTTACCTGTTGTAGGTATTTGGCTGTAGCTCCTTTCCTTGCGGCTTCATCAAGGTTGCCATTTGCATGTGGGATACCAAGGTACTTGTAGCTGTCCTCAATGTCTGCTGTTGTCCTTTCTGGGAGGGTGATCCCATCTGTGTGGACTACCTTCTCTTTCTTGGTCACCATCCAACCACACTTCTAAAGTCCGAATAACATCCCAATATCAGTGCTGAGTCAATGTCTCTTGGTGTACAGCTTTGTCATTCATGTAGAGGAGGTGGCTGACTGTGGTTCCATTCTTGAGTCAATATCTATAGCCAGTCTTGTTTATTATTTGGCTGAAGGGGTTCAGACCAATGCAGAACAGTGGTGAGGGCAGAGTGTCTCCTTGGCATATGCTACATTTGATGGAAACTTGTACAATTGGCTTCAACGGTGGTTTTCCACAGCCCCATAGAGTTTGCAATGAAGGCTTTCAGAGTCCTGTTGATGTTGTTGTACAGCTCATAGGCTTTCTTGTAATCAACCCAGGCCAAGCACAGGTTTGTGTGTCTGGCTTTGCAGTCTTGGGTGACTGTTCGGTCTATTATCTTAGTTGCTGTGATGCCTAACATGAGCTTCCATGTTGTGGAGAGCCAGGTTTTTGGCCGATATTTAGATGAGACTGTACCCTTGGAGGGGTCCTTCAGGATCAGGATTGTTTGCCCATCAGTTAGCCCTTCAGGGTGAGTCCCATCCTTTATCACCTGGCTCATTTGTGCTGCCAGGTGCACAATAGTGTGCAGTGAGCTTCTTAAGCCAGTCTAAAGCCCTTCCAGTCAGTCTCCAGCCTTATTGTTACCCTGCCACTGAGAATACACATCAGCTGGTTGGGTCGCCTGGCTTCACTTTCTCTCATGTATTTCTTTAGGCAGCTGGCCATGGCTTGAAGCCTTTGTTTGGCAGTTTCCAGTGCTTCAGGTATGGGTTCCTGGCCGTAGCTCTTGGGTCCTGGTTTTGTCATTGTACCTTTCTGACCGTTGGCTCACTTCTGACCATGTGTCTTGGCTCCTCCTTGCCATAGAATTTGTGTTGTATCTGGTCAATCTCAAGTTGTGGTAGCAGTTGCTGTTAGTGTTGAGTGCAGGTTTTGAAGTAACCATTCTCCCTGCATTCTCTGCATGTAACCCGTAGACTAGGATTGCTGGAGTAATAGCAGTCGTTTGAGCCTACATCTCATTCATTTCGGTTGCTCTCATCGTAGTATTTATTATTCATTTTTTGAAGACTTACTTGTCTACGAGAAAGGTCACCAACTGTGCCTCAGTCTAGGTACGTCCTCAATTGACATCTTTATGTAAGCAACTGTCTACAGTGGTGTGAAAAACTATTTGCCCCTTCCTGATTTCTTATTCTTTTGCATGTTTGCCACACAACATGTTTCTGATCATCAAACACATTTAACCATTAGTCAAATATAGTACAAGTAAACACAAAATGCAGTTTTGAAATGATGGTTTTTATTATTTAGGGAGAGAACAAAATCCAAACCTATATTGCCCTGTGTGAAAAACTAATTGCCCACCTTGTTAAAAAAGAACCCAACTGTGGTGGTTCACACCTGAGTTCAATTTCTGTAGCCAACCCAAGCCTGATTACTGCCACACCTGTTTCAATCAAGAAATCACTTAAATATGAGCTGCCTGACACAGAGAAGTAGACCAAAAGCACCTCAAAAGCTAGACATCATGCCAAGATCCAAAGAAATTCAAGAACAAATGAGAACAAAAGTAATTGAGATCTATCAGCCTGGTAAAGGTTATAAAGCCATTTCTAAAGCTTTGGGACTCCAGCGAACCACAGTGAGAGCCATTATCCACAAATGGCAACAACATGGAACAGTGGTGAACCTTCCCAGGAGTGGGCGGCCGACCAAAATCACCCCAAGAGTGCAGAGACAACTCATCCGAGAGGTCACAAAAGACCCCAGGACAACTTATAAAGAACTGCAGGCCTCACGTGCCTCAATTAAGGTCAAAGTTCACGACTCCACCATAAGAAAGAGACTGGGCAAAAATGGCCTGCATGGCAGATTTCCAAGACGTAAATCACTGTTAAGCAAAAAGAACATTAGGGCTCGTCTCAATTTTGCTGAGAAACATCTCAATGATTGCCAAGACTTTTGGGAAAATACCTTGTGGACTGATGTGACAAAAGTCGAACTTTTTGGAAGACAAATGTCCCGTTACATCTGGCGTAGAAGTAACACAGCATTTCAGACAAAGAACATCACACCAACAGTAAAATATGGTGGTGGTGGTGTGATGGTCTGGGGTTGTTTTGCTGCTTCAGGAACTGGAAGGCTTGCTGTGATAAATGGAACCATAAATTCTACTGTCTACCAAAACATCCTGAAGGAGAATGTCGGCCATCTGTTCGTCAACTAAAGCTGAAGCGATCTTGGGTGCTGCAGCAGGACAATGACCCAAAACACACCAGCAAATCCACCTCTGAATGGCTGAAGAACAACAAAATGAAGACTTTGGAGTGGCCTAGTCAAAGTCCTGACCTGAATCCTATTGAGATGCTATGGCATGACCTTAAAAAGGTGGTTCATGCTAGAAAACCCTAAAATAAAGCTGAATTACAACAATTCTGCAAAGATGAGTGGGCCAAAATTCCTCCAGAGTGCTGTAAAAGACTCGCAGCAAGTTATCACAAACGTTTGATTGCAATTATTGCTGCTAAGGGAGGCCCAACCAGTTATTAGGTTCAGGGGGCAATTACTTTTTCACACAGGGCAATGTAGGTTTGGATTTTGTTCTCTCCCTAAATAATAAAAACCATCATTTCAAAACTGCATTTTGTGTTTACTTGTGTTATCTTTGACTTATGGTTAAATGTGTTTGATGATCAGAAACATTCTGTGTGACAAACATGCAAAAGAATAAGAAATCAGGAATAAGAAATCAGGAAGGGGGCAAATAGTTTTTCACACCACTGAATTGGCTAATGGTGAGCAGCGGTCAATTCAAATTGCATGGAGCTCTATGAACAGGGATGGGCTTAGCAAACACAATGAGATATTACCTCCATTATATCATTATATCACAGTACAGGGTAAGACTGTTAATTTTACAGGTTTTTAAAAATCATAGACTATTTCTGAAAAGGGTAAAAGTCCAGATTGCAGCTCTAACAGACTGAACACACACTTGAGTTTCCGTCTCCTGGTTCTTTTCTTAACATAACCTTTTCTAAAAGTGTCTTTCTAATCACACTTCTTTGTTTTATCAGTACAATGGTATTAACCTGCGAAATGCCACGGAGCAGCAGGCTCGTCTCATCATCGGCCAGCAGTGTGACACCATCACCATCATGGCCCAGTATAACCCTCACATGTACCAGCTGGGGAACCACTCTCGCTCCAGGTAATCACTTAGATCCTAGTCGGGATGTATTGCTGATTCCTGAATCGGTTCTTATGAGGTAATCCGTTTAAGTGTTCATTTGACCCATTATTTACTTAATTAGCTTTAAGATGAGATAAATTGGCTCTCAAATATGAAGACACACAGATGTTGGTAATGACAGTTTCTCCTCTAGGTGCTAAAAACAAATGAACTTAAGCATTTCATTTTTAAAAAATGTTTTGCATGCGTCCAAGTCATGCTTGAGTTGACTTCTCAGACTGAAACAAAAGCTATTCTTCCAAACAGGAAAACGTGATCACAGTGACTTAAAACAACCTTCTACCAATCGGAGAAATGAATCCATCATGTAGCTGAACAGCGCTGCCATTATATTTCACTTTTTAATGATTATGGTAGCCAAAGTTGATCTGATTAGGAATAAGTTTGCTCAGGATTGCTGCCAGATGTGCTCTGTCACAGCAACGGAAACAAGAGCCCGCCATTTGTTTGGCTCTAGGCTGGCTATTCTTGCTGCCCGCATGTAGAATTACAGCTGATATCTCAAGACCTGCAGCTTAAATGTAATAAAAATAACACTTTTCTATTAATTTGCCATTTCGACACCAGAAAATACAGTATTTTGTAAATTGCTGCTTCCTGCAGTTCTCGTCTCGAGCCTGTCAGCGCTCAGTCGACTCCACAGGGGAGCGGGGCAGCTACTCCTGACAATCACTCCAACATCGATACGCTCAGCGAACAGGACGAAGGCACTCTCACTCCTTCATCCAAGCAGACCACACCCACTACCAGCCCTCACAACTTCATCAGGTAAAAACTGAATATCCTCATAAAGAGAAATCCAAGTTTTTTCCTCGAACACCTGTTTACCTGCAACTTTTACAGGATTCCATCAGAGGGCAGCAGGAAGGTGGGCGAGCCTCGGCTGGTGACGGTGCGTAGACCCGGGGTGGAGGTGGGAGTCACGCTCTGCGGGGGAAACCTGCGGGGCGTCTACATAGAGAGTCTGGACGAGGACAGTCCTGCCAGAGGTCCGGATGGGCTCCTATCTGGAGACCTGATCCTGGAGGTAACTGCTGTCACACACAAACACTCAAAGCTCATTTAGTCATATTTGAAGATTTTATTCTACATTTAGCATTTTTCTTCTCTTCATTTGAGATTTTGAAAGTTAGATTTTTCATAAAGAAGAAGAAGAAAATATCATTTCTATAGCGCCTCTCAAGATAAAAATCACGAGGCGCTTCACAAAAACAAAAAAATATAAAAATTGTAAAAATATAAAAAAGCATTTAGAAAATGTCTAAAAATATATTTAAAATGAGCAAAAATAAGCAATTGCGATTTAAAAGAAAACCTGTTAAGAAAGAGAGAGAGTGAATAGGAAAGAGGGAAATCAGTGGATCCTGAGGAAGGTGGAATAGGTGGGGAGAGCAGAATAAAGAGAGAGTGGTGAAGATCATACAAAAGCCAGCTTGAACAAGTGAGTCTTCAGCTGCTTTTTAAAGGAGACCACTGAGTCCACTGATCTCAGGCTCAGGGGGAGAGAGTTCCAGAGTCTGGGGGCCACAGCAGCAATTGGTCTGTCACCTTTGGTCTTTAGCCTGGTGCTGCACAACCAGTGGGCTTTGATCACTGGACCTCAGGAACCTGCTGGGGGTGTAGGGACTAAGAAGATCACCAATGTAAGATGGTGCTTGTCCATGTAGGGCCCTATAGACCAGAACCAGGATCTTGAAATGAACCCTGAAGTTAACCAGCAGCCAATGAAGCTGGAGGAGAAGCGGGGTGATGTGGGTGTGTTTGGAGGACTTGGTCAGAAGCTGAGCACAGGCATTCTGAACCACCTGTAGACGGTTCAGGGAGGTTCTGCTAAATGTCTTTTGCTGAATGCATGTTGGTGTAATAAACTTTTCAAAGTGAGGATTTCAGTTTTCTTTCTTCTCAAACTTTCTGTGCCACTTTAATTGAAACTTAAGCACTGCCAGCGGGTTCTGGCATTTTCGTTCCTGTCATTGAACTTCATCGATCTCCTCTGTTTCCCTTCATGCTTGTAATTTTTTCAGACCCCCACAAAATTCACGATAGACATTTCCCAGCATGCTTCTACTTTAGCTGCACAACATCTGCTGTCTGAGAGGCCGTGCAGCTCTGTCATCTGACTGCACAGCATCAGCCAGTCCGGTTTGTTTTCTCCCCCCGTACATGACTCAAATCAATATGGCGACACTTTTAATAGCACTGAAAGCATGAAGAAGGTGTTGCTATTTACTAGTGTAGCTTTCAGTCAATGGGATTTATTTCTGCAGAGTGAAAACAGCTTGTCGTCTGCGCGGTTGTGCAGTTGGTTTCCTTTCTGTGTGGGTTTAGATTGTTCTGCCCATGCTTGTTGGGTTAAAGTGTGAGTCGCTGCAAAACGAACAGACATTCTTCTGCTTTTACGTGTTTCATATACTATCTTATTGCTCATCTGCATTTCCTGTTGTTCCTTGCAGTATAACTCGGTAAATATGAAGAATAAGACAGCAGAAGAGGTGTATGTTGAGATGCTGAAACCTGCAGAGACGGTCACTTTAAAGGTGCAGCATCGGCCCGACGAATTCAGCACCATTAAAGATGTCCCCGGAGACGGCTTTTACATTAGGTATGTGAACGACATCTTTTACAGCCAAACTGACTATTTTGGGATAAATCAGTGTAAACGGACCTCAGTTCTTGCATGGCTTTCATCTCCCCATCATTCTATTTAAAGGCTCATCACAAGAGAGCTGGACAAGCTGGGCTCTTTCCCATCTAACCAATTATGTCCCAGATCCCGTCTGTGGCTGCAGTGATGCTAATCATGCCACAAATTTAGGTTATCTAATCCCTTTGTGTTCTCCGTGTTTTTCCAGGTCATTTGAACTACTTTATAAATGAAAGGAAAATCGAGCTCTAAATAGTTAGGTTTTATTGCTGGGAATCCGGGGGGGGGGGGGGGGGGGGGGGGGGTTGCTGCAGCTGCCGCAGTCACTTGTCATATAGGCAGACATGTTTGTGATGTCATCTGCAGCAAATACACCTAGCTTGTCTGGCTGTCACAGATTAGACCATTTAGGAATAACTTAGGAGACTCCGGCTAGAGCAAAGCTTACTTTATCCTAAACCTCACCTCCATCACTCTTTCGTTCTGCCCTCCCCATCTATCTTTGTCTCTCCCTCTCACCAGAGCACTTTACGACAGGGTGGGGGAGGCTGAAGGGGACCTCAGCTTCAAGAAGGATGACATCCTTTACGTGGATGAGTCTTTACCAGAGGGCAGCTTTGGGACCTGGATGGCCTGGCAGCTAGATGAGAATGCACAGCAGATCCAGAGAGGACAGATCCCCAGCAAGTACATGTGGGTGGAAAATGTGGCACACAGTTACACACATGCATGTTTGAGCTAGCGGTAACAGCTGTAACAACCCTCCAGGTCCAATCATATGTAACATATCCGTGTGTGTGTGTGTGTGTGTGTGTCTGGGATCTAAGGTCTGGTTGTCCTTTTTGTTTGTCTCTGAGTTCACTCACTGATCTCACTGTCTGGTGCTTCTGAGACCTAAATAACCCATAAATCCATTCAAATATAGAAGTCCAATATTTTTAACGGGACGCTTTTATAATAAAGTCTGTCTCGTATAACTAAGACGAATTTGAAGATGAACTTTAGCTCTTACTGGAGTTTGACATGTATGCACTTACTGATGATACTAATCTGAAACTTAGGATGGACCAAGAGTTTTACCGCAGACACAGCGTGACAGAAATGAAGGAAGATTCCGGTAAGACGCTCTCTGCGGCGGCCCGCAGATCCTTTTTCAGGAGGAAACAGAAACACAAACGCAGCAGCTCCAAAGATAGCAAAGAGATGGTGGCTCTGGACACCATCAGCACCGACTCCATCCCCTTCTTTGAAGGTGAGACGAAGAATTTTGGTCTTAAAGGTAGGGTTGGCACGAAGGATGATGTTTAACGGTTTCTTTGTGCCAGACTGCGTGAGCCTGGCCTATCAGCGAGTCCAGAAGGTGGAGTGCACATCTCCTCGACCGGTGCTCGTACTCGGGCCTCTGACTGACCCGGTGAAAGAGCGGCTGATTAAAGAATCTCCTGGGAAATTCTGCAGATGTGTGCTGGGTGAGTTCACCTCTCCCTGATGTTTACTATAAAAATGAAAGAAAACAAAGTAGAGCACCTGCATGTACTAGAGATTTGGGGTGTTAAATTAAACCTAGCATTTAATTTGGATCATGAATTTATTTTCAGAAATAATCCATCTTTTTTCAATTCTGTGACGTGTGTTTTCCCTCCATGTCTGCAGAGGTGATGAAGGCCTCCCAGCAAGCCATCGAGCGTGGCGTCAAAGATTGCCTCTTTATCGACTACAAGCGCAGGAGTGGACACTTTGATGTGACCACCGTAGCTTCAATAAAGGAAATAACAGATAAGGTATTCATCAGTTTACTTTTTGTCTTATCAGATTTTTATCTAGATGCCTGGGCCGGTATCTGTCTCCCTTTAATCTCAGCATTGACTCAAGATGAGCCATCCCGATTGCTACTATTGGCTCCAGGCTAACCCTGAGGGAAGAGCAGGATCAGATTTAAGCTGTTTGATCACAGTGAACTGATATTTTAAATGAGTTACTTTTCTAATCCAGGGTTGCCACTGTTTGCTTGACATCGCCCCACACGCCATTGAAAGGCTCCACAGCGTTCACATTTACCCCATTGTTGTCTTCATCCGCTACAAAAATGCCAAGCAGATTAAGTAAGTGGGCAACATGTTTCATATCACAAATTAGAACTCTGATGATGAGGATGTCTTGATATTGTGTGTGTGTGTGTGTGTGTGTGTGTGTGTGTGTGTGTGTGTGTGTGTGTGTGTGTGTGTGTGTGTGTGTGTGTGTGTCGCTGATTGATTGATGGAGCAGGATAAGCCTTCACACTTATCATTCCACCACAAACCCTTTGTTTCCATTAAATCTCTCCCACAAATATGCATAGATAATCCTAGACAGCTGGTAAAACACGCCTGCCACGTTTCCCACTTCATAGAGCCGAGCGCCTTCACTGTAGCGATTTTACTGTATTTACCTGTTTGTTTCCACCTACTGATGGTCATTTGTGATGGATTTCTAGAGAAAAGATAAACAAAATGACATCAGTTGAGAGGTATTAAAAAGATTAAAGCAGCAGTAAACAAGTTTTCCACTTCTCCCTCTTACTGGTTTTAAGCAGAACTGTCATAAACAGTCCTGCCACAGCCTGCTGTAGCTAGCACAGCAAGAGCCGATGGATAATGAGCAAGCCACAAAGTAAAAATATTCACACTGTTAGACAAAAAATTATGATTACATACTAGTCAGTAGCAACAAAGCCAGGTCATCATCAGTCCGTGATAGCATAGCCTCCGCCAACTCCCTCAGAGGAGTGTTGGCTGTGCCGATGTTCACTCTGGTTTTAGCTCTTTGCTTCCCTTCGATGATGCAAATGAGTAAAATTCTTCTTCCTCTTCTTGTGCTTTTTATTGACAGTCAGCGAACTGAAACGGCTAATTGCTAGCCTTTATATGAACTACCTGCACAGTAAACAGCTACAGCTGTATAGCAGGTAGACTTCCTACTAGTGTTCCTACCCAAACCATAAAAGTGCAGTTTCTGGTCAGCAGGGGGTTACTGAAGCGTGAAGTTGCTCAAGTTTATGGCTCAAGAACCACTGAAACCAGTTTGAAATCAATAGCCTAAAGTGTTTAAAACATTTTAGCGTTACTGTAAATTGTCTTTGGTCGTGAATGTGATCAAAATGTAAAAGAAAAAAGAAAAATAAAATAAAAACTTTGTTCACAGAGAACAGAAGGATCCAGTCTATCTGCGGGACAAAGTCTCTCAAAAACATTCCAAGGAGCAATTTGAAAGTGCGCAGAAGATCGAGCAAGAGTACAGCAAGTTTTTCACAGGTTTGAAAGGAGCTAACTCTTCCCTTGAATTTCTGTTAAAGATTTTGAGTGCTTTTTAGAGTGATTGGAGGATTTCTTTGTTTCCAGGTATTGTCCAAGGTGGCACCCTCCCTTACATTTGCACTCAGATCATCACTATAGTTGATCAGGAACAAAGTAAAGTCCTGTGGACTCCACTCGGCTGCCCCTAGAGGACACCAGCAGCCACTGCAACAAGCTCTCGTCTCCATTCCCCAAACACCGATTAACTCTCACTCTGCACCAATAGGTACACCACAATGAGCTAGTTGTGTAAATTATTGATTTTTTTATTTTTTATTTTGTCCTCATGATTTGTAATCTGTTTCCTTTATTCCTCGTGTATCTGGAGCAGGTTGGTAGCATTTGGATATTAAGTTGTTGGTCTTCCCTGAGATGGTGTCTTTGTAATGCTGCATTGTAAGAGTCCGTTTGCAGACACAGGAGCTGTCTGATTATTGGTGTTCAGTGTTTGCTGGAATATGTGTGCGACCCCCTATGAACATTAACCTCAACACTAATGAAGTTCAACCAACCAAATTACATTTGTGGATTCCCTACAATTATGCACCCATTTACCGATGACTGACAACTATATATATATATATATATTTTTAATGTGTGTGTGTGTGAAAGTGTGAACAAAACCTCGAGACTGTTGTTCACAATTGTAAAAGACAATTTCAGCGGAGGTGGTGGTTGGCATGGATGCACCCAGACCGCCATCAGACATCAACGGTTCATCACAGAAGTGCAAAAGCATCAAAACCTCTTCAAGTATGTAGCTGTGGACTCCATGAAGCTGCCTGCCACCAAGTCACCGATGTTTGCTCTATGCATCATTTCTGTAGTAGCTGGACGTGTGGACAGTTTCTAGGCCTTTCAGAAGTGCCTTTAAAAAAAGAAACCTGATCTGAAATCAGCCCTCAGTCATTCAAGCAGTTTTGTTTTTAAATGTTCTCTTCAGTCCACCATCACTCATTGAGGCCAACATGATTGAGGGGCTGATCTGAGACCAGTTATTCTTAGAGCGTGGAACAAAAGTTGAGGTATTGAAGGTAGGCCGAAGCGGTGGCCAGTGAGCTAACTCAGAATGCACTCCAGGCTAAGACAGACCACTGTGTAACTATCCTGCTCTTCAGCATATATTTAACAGCATAGAGTATACTATGTATGGTATGCAGAGAAACCTGTAAAAATAAAAAACAAAAAAAACGTATATCTATATAAGTATATATTACATGTATTTTTACTAGGTTGTATGTCCCAGATTGTTCAGCAGTCATGTCTTAACAGGTATTAGCATTATTTTTTAATTACTGGTTGTAAGTCACATATTGATGTTTTCATTAAGACCTAATGAAGCAACGTTTGCAGGGTAATTACCTTTAAGAGTTTTCCTCTGGTCCGTTTAAATGTTACTGACTTTTTATTGTTGTTTGTAATTTTTGGTTTTTATTCAGAAGGCAAAAAAAACCCCATCCTTTCTATTATTGTGCCAAAATCCACTAAAACGACTTCCTTCCTTTAATTCCTTTTTTGCACTTGTTCATCTGTAAACCTTAAACATGTTTCCAGCATCCTGCTAACAGGTACTACGATTTCTATAACTAATTCATGTTGTGTTTCATGTCCGTTCCTTACATTTCATTGATGGCCTTTTATCAAAATTAGAAAAGAAGATAACTTTGTATTTGAGTTCTCAAAAAGGGATTTGTTCTTGCACATTTTTTTTCCAAATAAAAATTTTTTCACACGTTTGACGATCGACCTTAAAGAATAAGCGGAAGTGACGTGTACCGTTACTATTTTAGTTGGAATCCGTTACATTGAGGTGCAACGTGAAATAGTTTATTCTAGAGAAAGGGTCCATAAGGAGTCTAGATGAAAGGTACTGATTGGACCTTTTCTTTCACTTAACAAAAAAAAAAGATTTGTATGTTGAAACATTAACATGAGAATAAAACTCATTTTTTGGCATCGCAACACAGACTCTGGATCTTCCTAATTAAAGTAAAAACAAGTATGGATTTTCTCACGCTTAGCTGGCGAGGACCACCTGAGAAGAACTATAACAACTGTTTTCATTCTGCTAAAATGTTTCCATCCTTGAGAGTTGTTGGACATACGTTCATCCTTATTGTCGAAGGTAGCGGAGAAAAGAGGCTGATAAAATGCCATCAATTACTGAAATGAGATAAGGTGTGATGCCTGAACTTCAGATGAATAAAAACAGCTGAGGAGACTGGCTTTGTCTCTTCATCAGCAGCTTCAGCGATAAATCTGGATGCAGTTGGACGTTTTTAATTCTCGGTTCAGAATGTTTTTTTTTCCACATCAAAGCTTTTTCAGTCTACACGAGGAAAGTTTCTGTTCCATTTCTATGGTTAAAGCTCCTAGGATTCGAGTTTAGATGGGAGGTCCCTAGCAGCATCGTAAGGTCTCGGCTGAGCCCAGAAGAACCACATGTTTACTGATAAAAGGAATATTTATAGTTAATGATGCTGAACAGAGCTTTGGGAGACGTTTAAGTAATCTGTATGCATTTCGGAGCTTGTTACTAAAAAGGTAGATAAACACAGTTCACTGACAACACACCAAACTTTACCACATTTTAAAAGGCGGTAATCAAACATCAGCTAATTCAGTTAAAATGAAAGACAAAAACATTTCTAAATGTAACAAACTAATAGAATACACAAGAGTGATGTGAGATGGTTTGTGGAAACACTACTCCCGTTCTTTCCACGGTGGCGGGGCCTTCACCCAGGAGGCTATATTTGGTTCTGTGTGTAGCATATGGTGGAGTTGGAGACGACCACTCCAGCAAACTAAAGGTCAGCCTGAAGATGTCTTCTGCTGTTTTATTTCACAATCTGCACCAATCTTTAGACGGCATTCTTGGAAGCATATGATTTTTTTTTAAATTAGAGATCAAGGGGCCTTTGGATTTTTAATTATGATGCGTATGATATTCTCAGCAAAAGCTCAATTGAATCAAGCTGAATAAAAACTCTAAAAATGTGTGAGTTGGTTTCCATCCAGTTGAACAGCCTGAAGCGATGCCAGAACCTGCTGGCTGATTGAGTGCCTCCAGCTTGAGGTTAATTCCTATGAGCGCCTCTTTCTGAGTCACGTGCTCTTCTGGCCAATAATGTCACAGTGAATGATGACCCTCCAGCTGCTTGTCAAGTTCACCGGAGCAAGAAATCACCCAGCGTCTCCAAATACCCACCATGCAGGGCCTGAAATGGTCTGAAACCTGGGCCTTGTAGCTGTGCAGATGCTAGAGTGTTTTATTTTTGACGTTACTTAATTCTTCCTGGAGAAGGCTGCATTGAGGCCACTAACTGCACGCCGAATCTGATGTGCCGCTCCTGTTCCTTACGTCCTCCAAGCCCCCTCCTGCCTGTTATAGAAAGAAGTTGGGTCTGAAACCCTTCAGCCGGGGTGTCTGTTTCAAGACAGCTGCTGACAGCTCAACTGAACTTGAGAAGACTCGAGTCTGACAGAAGAGGATCTTTGTAGTTCTCGCTGGGAAGCTGTAGCCTTTCTTGGCTCTCGTCAGATCATGTTGTTGAAGTGAGGAGGCGTGTTCCTCCTCTTTCTCAATTTCAGCTTGATGGCATGAACTCGTATATCTGTCTAATCTTTGATTCTGTATGGTTTTCTCTCAAATGTCCTATTTTCTCCACATCTGTAGGAACCTCTTGTCTTGGTTCGGCAGCCTTGTGGGAACCACTTACAGCTGCCCTTTCGTAGGAGATCCATCAGTTACAATCTCACCTAAAAGATTTCTCCTGTCTCTAAAAAAGCTCAAATATTTTTTATGCAACCAATATTTATAATTAATATAGTATAGTTAAATCACATTTCCACATCTGTAGTGAATCTGACTGCCTCTATAATAATCTTTCTTGTTATTTGGAAGAAAATGTTTATAAATCCATAAAATGATGGTATTTAACCAGCCAAATGTGCCATTGTTGAGTTGTGTTCATTATTTTTTGCCCAGTTTGAGTAAAGTTTTGTTGTTTATTTTTAAATATCCTTCTACCACCAACCTTCCTGGGATTAATGAACATTAACCCCTGTTGCTCATCACATAATGACCTAAAGTACTTATGTTGCATTACTCTTTTTGCTATAACGATTAAAAGATAAAGACACAAGTTCACTGTTTTACCAGCAGGAGGACAGCAGCCCAGCTGCCTTAACACTTGCTGATCAGAAGCTGGCTGGCTACTCCAATAACACCAGCCATAAATCATGTTCTGCTACATCACACAGCTTGTTGCTCTGCATTTTATATTCTGTATGCAGTTCAATGATAATTAAGGACTTCACAGAGTTCCCTTTGTGAGAACCCAAAATGCTGGCACATGTAGTCACAAGTATGAAGTGCTCCAAATGAAAACCGGGCCGGCGCTTTGTTTTACTGCCCAGCCTTTTGCCAATCTCAACGACAGCCAGCAGTTACAGCAGCTATTTTTATTGAAGCACTAAAATGTCCAGGAGAATAAATCATGAAAGACATCATTGTAGACACGTTTACTTAAAGAACAAGATTAGATGTCACAACTCCACGCTTCTGTGGACATCTGTTACTTATTGTAATTATAAAAGAATTTCTTCATTTCTGTTCATTTTACTGAGCTTTAAAAAAGATTTGGTATCATAGTAGCTCTGGGACTTTTTAGAACATTAAATTAATATTTAAAAGAGTTCATTCAACAGAACATGTGATCTGTGTTGGAAAACCGCCTCCATTTCTTGACACAGGTGGTTGATCCACTGAGGCCAATGGTTATTCAAGGCCCGAGCCAGCTGTTTTCTCATGTCCCTAGCTCTGACTGTCCACTTGAGGCGGGCCTCAGCGTCATCACCAATCCACACCTGTTTTTTCTCCTATGATGAGAGCTAAAATTGTGGGCATATTACAGTAATTGACTGGGAAGGATTCTCCCTCTCTCTCTCTCTCTCTCTCTCTCTCTCTCTCTCTCTCTCTCTCTCTCTCTCTGTGTACGCATGTGTGCATGAGCGCGCTCATTTGTGAAAATGAAAACTAGGATTCCCATCAATGCCACTATCAGTAATTGAAAAAAGGAGCACTATCCTTGATGACAATTTAGTGCAGTGAGACATCGCCATGTAAAAACATTTTAGAGATTTGTTCTGTTTTTGCTTTGTTTTCAATGTGAGTAAGCACAGAAAGCCATTTTAACTGCTGGTTTGATTGATTAGTAGAATAAAGCTATCCAAACCAGCCTGGCCCCTGAGTGAGAAGGTAAATTTAAAGGGGCAGTAGAATGTAAAGCCACGTCTACCTTGTTGTTGAGTAAAGGCAGCTTGAGTGGTCAAAGGTAGCATACCAAAAAGTCAGAGCTGTGTCTGACCTGCTTTAGTCATCTTGAAAAATTAGGGATAAACAGTGTTGCTTTTAACAAGTAATTAGTTATAGTTACTAATTACTTTGTCAAAAAAGTAACTCAGTTACTTACAGAGTTACGAGATTATAAAAGTAACTAATTACCAAGAAAAACAACTACTTAGTTACTTTTTTCATTAAAGAATGCAAGAAAAATGGGTTCCCCTCTTAATTAAACTTACTTAATTTACTATAAATTACTACAATAGTTAAATATAAATGACTAATGACTGGAACATAATAAAATGTATGTCCAAATGTTTTTTATAAACCTGAATAATTTAATTAAAAAGCACTTAACAGGAGGAACTACTAACAGGAACATTACACTAATCTAGACTATTAAAAGGTCACTGTGTGGTTTTTAACAAGACCCCAATGAGCTAAAATTTAAAATTGCAAATAGAAACACCTGTAAAGGTTCCTGAGCCTTTAAATGGTCTCTCAGTCTATAATTAAATTACGGAAATAAATGTAAATTTGTACAGTATTTTAATTTTTCCAGCTTCACATAATTGTGTGTTTTTAGTAGCATTTCTGTTGCTGGTAATCTAGTAATGGTTAAATAAATAAATAAATAAATATCCTTTAAAATGACACTAGAAGAGGCACAAACCTGATGGAGGACTTACATTTACTAACGTGGGTCAGACCCAAACACAGAAGAGCTGAAGCTGGGTGGTAAACACACACAGGTAGTTCTGATAACACCTGAGCTCCATGACGTGTGAGACTGATGCATCAGTGTTACAGCGGGACTAAAGACATGATCAGAAACAGGTTACAGCTGGATGATCTAGGAAGGTAGAAGGTCATGGCGTCTGAGTGGTGAACAGGTGAGCGGACCTTCGGGATGTCCCGCTGTCACGTTTAGAAGGATGTAGACTATTCATCCCATCTTCCTTGTTCTTCACGGGCCGTGATGCGCTTGGATGAAAACATCTGCCTCTCTAGCTCCTGATCAGCTGATGACAGCTTCAACACAATGCTCTGCTTAACGCACGCATTATCAGTAACAGAAACAATGTTTTGATAAAAGAAGACGGTAATTAGTTAGTTTGCTCGTTACTGAAAAACATTTTTTTAGTAACGCAGTTATTTTAAACAGCGTAATTCCCATCACTGCTCTGATGGGTCTACAGCATGCGGTGACTGAGACAGTGAGAACACTGAGTGTCTCCGCCCACCCGGGCCCGGCCAATCATCATCGTGTTTGTAAGTGCGTTACCGACACCCCTCTCTCCCTAGCTGCAGCTGAAGAGTGGCGGTCAGAAAGCCTCACACTGTTGCTCAACGTTGGACAAGCACACAGTAACGCACAACCTTCCGTCCCCAGTAACGGTAACGGTGTGGCAACAGAGGGAAAAGTAATTAACTAGATTGAGCCGTTACCCAAACAAAGAATGCCATTAGTAACGTTGTTATTTTAAACAGCGTTATTCCCATCACTGGGGATAAACAGTTGGTTCTGAGAAAGGTGGTTTATGATGTAATAATGCACATCTGAACCCACTTTAGTGTCAGCAATATATACGTAAACACAGGTCACAAAACAACTCTAGGCTGAGCTGCTGCTAATACTGGCATGAGCTGCTAACGGTCTTGATGGATGAGAGAAAAACAACCACTCACGTTCAAGGATGTACTGGGGCTATCCAGACATTAAATATATGCCAGATAGATCCCTGGATTGTGGTACCATCCGATTCGGTAGATGTCCTCATCCTTGTTCGTCTGCAAGCCCAAATCAAACCAGTCAAACGATGCCAGACAGACTTGTTCCTGTTTATTCTCATTGCTGAACACACACACACACGCACGCACGCACGCACGCACGCACGCACGCACGCACGCACACACACACACACACACACACACACACACACACACACCAGCCAGTCAGCATGCAGCTCATTAAATATTCATGTGGTCAAGTGGGCAGGTAAAGCCAGTCTTTTCAGAGTAAGGCTATTTTATGGGGTTTTATGTGCCCATTTATCAGGGCTCCTGGGCCATTGTGAACCCTAACAAAGTTTCATATGCTTTATAGTGGCTCAAAGATCCATTTCTAGTTGTAAAAAATAAAACTCACTCTAGGACACCTTTAATAAGTGGCTGAAACACCCTAGGCAGCAACAAATCAAGTGTTTGGGATTACTGGTAATATTGTCCCTCTCATCTTAGCTGCAGAATAGTTTAAACCCTCTCAGGCTCAAAATAAGTTTTGGTAAATGGACAAACTACTAAGTCCTTCAGGGGTACTTCTGAGTTAATAAATGCTCATGAAATACGTATGTGGAGTAACCAGGTAGGTTTTAACGTTGCAAATCTGCAACGTCTGCCTCCAGAGGGTTAATTCAGGGCATGTTTAAGGTCAAAGGGTCAGACATTCTTCTTTCTGCAGAGTCCATCAATTACAGCAAATGGTCCAGTTCCTGAAGCTGCCAAGCAGTTCCAACTCATCACACTGCCACCACCATGTTTGACTGCAGGCATGATGTTCTTCTGAAAACATTTCACATATTTCCAGATTTTTTGGGGGGATCAAGAGGTTTTGTTGTGAGACAAAACTTGCACTATTTCTCTTCTTCATTGTTGAATCATGAACTCGGACCTTAATGTTAACCTTAATTACCTCCGACCTTAGCTGCAGGGCTTTAGTTGAGGTTCTGGGTAAAATTATTTTTCTAAATTGTAAGTTGATTTGGATTTACTAAGGCTGTCTTTGATCTGAAACATTTGTGTTTGACAGAAAAATCTGAAGTATTTTGTATGGAAGAAATAAATGCTTAGAGCACCACCACCATGAGCACTACCATCATGATTCGCCTCTCCTCCCACTTTCTTTTTCTTTTTTTTCCCAAAACCTTGGCGACGTGCGTCACTTGCGTGCAACCAAAAGACGCAAAGGCGCAACTGTAGCCTACCTCCTTCACAGCCAAGCAGCGGAGACAGTCGGCCCTTGGAATAAACACCGTTGCGCTCTCGCTGCTCTCTGTCCGTCTTTAACTTTGGCGCTTCGCTCCGCCCTCCTACCTGCCGCTCTCCTCTGGAGCGGATCCGGCAGACGCGCTCAGCTGGCCACTCCGTGTCGTGCCAGGTCTGCAGGGAGACCGAATGGAGGCGGCGACATCCACCCGAGGACCGTCAGTCCTTCTTTTTTACGCAGAACTGACAACAAAAACCGCCCGCCTGAACATGTAGTCTTCTGTCCTGCGTTCAACCCTCAACACATCCAGAATCCAATTACAGGCTCGCTCGTTTTTTGGTCATTTGTCCCGCTTTGCTGCAAACCCGCTTACCATCGATTAGCAGAAAGTAAACATCGATTCGTCGCCCATTGATTGACAGGATCCCCCTGAATGGAAGACGGCTAGAGAGGTCGCCTTTTTTGTGTGCGGAAGACAGGCTGCAACAATTTCTTCCGCCGCTGTTGACATTAACGGAAACGTCAGTGGCAGCCTCGGCGGCTGGGAACGACGCCGTCTCTGTCACGGCATATGGCGTGAGAGAGGCAGAAAAGCCCCCGTCGGAATCATGAGAAGCGCACAAGATTCGTCATTATTGCGGATTTGAATGCGTCTCTCCGAGGGCCACCGAGACGCTATTTTGGTTAGGCTTGCGTGCGCCGCGTCTCACGCTGTCACAAATAAACAATTCATAGCTGCATAAAAGACAGAACCGGACGCCATCGGGTGGGTGATCATTATCTAAAGAAAATAGCGGGATTTGTTTATTTTCTGTTTTTATTTCAAGCAATATGGCTGGTGAATGGGGCTGGGGACGCTGGCACAGGCTCTCCAATGCTCCTAGATGCTAGCTGAGGCGGATGGCACGGTTCCCCATGGAAGCGAGAGCTCTATGAGGACAAGCAGTATCAATAATAATATCAATCCGGACTCTTCGATCTTAATATCCAAAATGGACAAGGTGGTCATCCCGTTCTCGCCCCAGGTGCCATGCGCCGAAGACGGACAGCGCATGTGGTGGGCATTCCTCGCCTCTTCCATGGTGACGTTTTTCGGGGGTCTCTTCATCATCCTGCTATGGAGGACCCTCAAATATCTGTGGACCGTTTGCTGCCATTGCAACATTAAAAACAAGGTATGCTCGTTACTCAAATGTCCAGACAATGTTGTCATTCTGCAGAAAACATGATCATTTTTGTCTCTCCGGGTTGTTTACTCCCACTCTGGAACGAAGGGGGTGATGTTGCGTGAAAGATGGGAGTGAAGGGATTCCGTCATTTTATTTAGCATCAACATGCAAATGTCCTCATCATGCCACATCAGCTCCAAACCTCTATGACAACCTTTCAGATGTTCAGTTTCATGTGACCAAACAGTTGATCCTGCTCAGACCACTCCGACCCATTCAGAGTCGTTTGTACTTTTAAACAGTTTCCCCCCTCATCTTTTCTGCTGGTTAATATTTATCCCCAGAGATGGTTGGAGTGTGTCCATTCGGCACCCTGAGTGCTGTGGTGGTGTGTTGAAGGTAACCTGTGTGCAGGACTAATATAGAAATAAGATAATAAGGGTGACTGCCTATTGCTTAGCTTGGGGTGGATGAATCATAGCTGATTCACATTTGGCTCATACATGACTCACACACTTGTGTGTAGTGTGAGTCCCCTAGATGGTCCAAAGGGGCAGTTAAAAGGCAATGTTCCTCATGGTGTGTTTAAAAGTCATTATTTATAATGTGTGCTTAAGATCATATACGTTAAAAGATAAACTAAATTAAAAGAGATTTCCTCCCGTGACCTTTTAGTGCCCTCGGCTGTTGTGTCTCTTTCTCCCTGGAATTATGACAGAAGGAGGACGGAGAGAGTTGGAGCCACTTTTACTGACAATAACTAAAAGGAAATAATATTTTTTTCATCAGTCGTGTTGAATGTTTTCAAACGAATTTCAGTAAATTTTATCTTAATTCTGGTTGTTTTAATTTCTCCCACAAAGTACAAGCAAGTCTAGAAATCAGTAGTTGGCTAATATGAAAATCAAAAATCAGAATTTTTTTTTGCTCCATGAATGCATCATTGCCAAGCAACAATATAAAATCTGAGATGTTTCTTTTCCCTTACTCACCATCTGTCATATGGAAGTCTTAACTTCAAAAATCATTATTTTCAAGTTATTGAGAATTTGTTTTTTTCAACTAATCCACTAATTATAATTCTTAAATCTGAGTTATTCAGTCAGAGGTGTACAAGACTCTAAAATCTTTACTCTAAATACATAAAATATTGCATGAAAATGATCAAAATGTCACACTTTCTGAAGTACAAATTCCTAGACACATTTGGAAAAACTAAAAATTCTGACATGAAATGGAGAAAAAAACATTTGTATGTTTCTACAAGCATAAATGATGTAAAGCTTTGTTTCAGCAGCAGGTGTACGTTTGTTTCTAACTGCATGCTAGATGTTTTCTTTTTTAGTCATGTTTCCTGGCTTCAAGTCAGAGACATCAGTGGGTAAACTAATACAAAACTGCTTTGGGGATGCATTTTAAAATAATCTGATCAAATCAAACTATTCTGGCTCAAACCACAACACCACCACCTCCATGCTTCTTTGATAGGATGAGCTTCCTAAGCTGGTCTGAGGTGCTTTCTTTATGGCTTAAACCCAAAAGTTCTGCGTTATTCTCATTCAGGCTAAAAACAATCAACAGATCTGATTTATTACTGACAGTTTATTTATTTTTTGGGGAGAGCAGCAGCCTTTATTTCTTTCGGATCTGTGTACTAGTTATGTTCAAACTCTTTTCTAAGATAAACCTTTTAAATGTGGTCAACAACTTTATTTTTCTAGGATTTTTCAATATTTTCATAAATACATTTTAAACAGTATGAAAAAACACGCAGATTTGTTGTTATTCTGAGAGCAGAAACACGGTTCAACCTTATCTTACAAGCATTTTCCCTTCATTTCCACCCAGTGTGTTGTTTACGTCATTACTTGCCTGTCCACCTCCTGTCATGTTGCTACGCTCACAAACTGCAGCATCAGTAATGGCAGCAGACCACATGTCCTCCTTCTTACGTCTCACAATCTCACTAGGAACGTGATGAAAACAAGTCATGCAGATATAATTAGGGCTCCATCTTGAGGCTGCTGGTGCATATCTGGTTGCGTTCTATCTCATGGAAATGAGGAGAAATGATAAAAATAAAAGCCGTGCAGCTTGCTGTGGAAGGCGGGCCCATCCTGTTAGGTGACTTTGGTGGGCTTGACACTTGGCTGCCGAGGGAAAAGGCTTGTTAGGAGAATTAAGAAGGGGAAACTGGATCTGTGTTCAGCTGACTAGCACAACCAGCTGGGTTGGCAAGTGTCGGACTCAGGATGTAGAGCTGATGCGGGGCTGTGGCCGGCTCACTGTGGCATTACTGGGAACTTGGAATCGGGGGCAAGTAAGTGCAGGTGGAAGCTGAGAGACGAAATGAGGTTGTGTGAGGATGATGGAAGGTTTCAGTGTTTCCTTGAGCTCAGCCAATGACACAGCTGCATTCTTGTTATTTATAATACTCGTCTGTGTCAGGATTACAACCTCGTGGTCAAATGGTCATGCAGAAGGATGGAGGGGTTGTTGTGAATAGAAGCTCAATGGAGGTCAGAATAATCCTGTTTTGTTTCTGACTCTGGAAACAAGACATTGATATAGAACAAAATGTGAATGGATGAATTGAGACGGCATAAACTAACAGGTAACCAACCAGTCGAATGAAACTGGTTTGCAAGCACCAAACCTGTGTGTCTTCTATCAGCTGTTGGTTTCAGAGCCACATACCAACCACATCTGTAACCCAATTCACTCCATTCCCCCAATTCACACCAGTCCTCAGGTTGTTGGGACGGCAGGGCTCCTACGCAAAACTCTAGACCAGGGGTGGCCAATCCTGATCCTGGAAGGTCAGTAGTGATTTCCCTGCACCAACACACCTGATTCAGTGATTGAATCACCTGTGCAGCAGCTCATCAGGAAGTGCCTGCTAATCACCTGCTGAGTGAAATCAGGTGTGTTGAAGCAGGGGTAAAACTAAAACCTGCTGGATACCGGCCCGCCAGGACCAGGATTGGGCACCCCTGCTCTAGACTGTACCAGATGCATATTTATTAGATTTATCAGCATGCTTGGGTTCATTGCTGGCATGCATACACAAACATTTACCGTGAATGCTCTTAAGCATACATTTCAAGCCTTCTTTCGTATTAAAACCTTGTTCCAGAGAAAAATAAACATCCAGTATTTGAGTTAGAATCTATTTTTCTAATTAAATAATCGGAAATGCGATTTTTAAAATCTCTAACAATGTAAAATAAAATAAAATCAAGGCATAGAAATGTTCCTCCAAACTGTATTTTCTTTTCTCCCTCTAGTTTTCAAATGCAAAAGCTAGATTTCCTATTTTTTACGTGTACATGTGGAACCCTGGGATGAATGTAGCTTAAGAGTTCACTCGTTCAAAAATAAAGATTTCCCTGCGAGGCACAAGCCTCAGTCAGGCCAATTGTAATTTATATTGATAACTGAAATAAAACGCGTGTTCAAGCACTCTGCTGGAGTGACGGCAGCCATGTTTTTGGGCTTGTTAACAATAAGCTGGATCTGTTGTTTCTCGGCTTTGTGTCTTGCTGAAGATGCAATTTTCTGCAGGATTATTTTGTTGCCTGGTGCTTTTCTTCTGCATGGTTATCTAACAGTTTAGGTGTTTACTTCTCATCATTCCAACTCCAGCGTCTGTTGAAACATGAACGGCTCTGTCGTCCTACGGCTGCTTCTCTAGGTGTTTTATTCTTATTTTTTTAATAGACTTCATCATTTGTTCTCAACTTCTGCAATAAAAATGTCTAAATATTTCCATTTTTCTTGTCCTCTCACTCCCGGTGCCATTAATACAAACTCTTCCAGTGGAGGAGTCCATCTTCATGTCTAACACAGTCTACAGTTCCTTGTCCATAAAATGAAACACTGGTTGTGGATTTATGATCCTGAGTGAGACAGAGAGCAGACAGGAGTCGGTCCTCCGAGTGTGTTAATGTCAGCTGCATTTGAACCAGCTGCACATGTTTGCTGAACATGTCAGAGAGTAATGCCAATCATTTGAAACTGCGCTCTGTTTTAGTACCAAAAAAGGCAGAGGATGAAAGTGTTCCCATCCATTCTGATTCAGTTCAACACGATGTGTTTTTATTCACTTTAGAGCCAACAGCTGTCAGAATATGGTTGTTTCTGTCCAGACAGCACAGGAGGAGTGATGGCGCTGCGGGTTTTTCGCTGCCTGAACACTCTACCTGGGAACGTGTTCACCTACAGAGGGTGCAAAATGCCACAGCTCGTCTTTTAACTGGCACTCGAAAGTTAGAGCACATTTCCCCTGTTTTAGCTTAACTTCACTGGCTGCCCATTTCTTTTAGGATTCATTTTAAAATTCTTTTATTTGCTTTTAAAGGTCTTCATGGCCTCGCCCCCTCTTATCTCTCTGATGTGATACAGCCTTACACTCCCTCCCGCTCTCTCAGGTCTGCTGATCAGCTGCTCCTGAATGTACCCAGGACTGAGCGTAAACATAAGAGGAGATCACGCTTTTGCTGTTGCAGCTCCAAAACTGTGGAACAAACTTCCTTTAGAGATAAGACAGGCCAGTTCCTTATCTGTTTTTAAGGCACTCCTGAAAACCCACCTCTTTACCCTGGCTTTTGATACCTTGTGAGATGTTGGTTTCTATTTTTTATTTTATTTGAGCTGTTTTAGGTGATTCAGTGCAGTTTTATCAAGTTTTATCAAGTTTTTATTTTTTAATATAGGGCTATTTTAATTTTATGTATCATGTGTTTTATTTATCTTTGCTGTTTTCTGTTTAGTCAATTGTTTTAATGTATTTTCTGTACAGCACTTTGTTCCTGTGCTGGGTCTTTTAAAGTACTTCATAAATAAAACTGGATTGGATTGGATTAAAGCCTAAATTATTCCACATTTATTCTGTTTTCTCTTAAAAACTGAAAACAACAGTACACTTTAATTAGCACAAGAGTGTTTTAGTGTTTTTCTGTTTGCATCAGTAAAGTCTCACCCTGGCAATCACAGGAGGATTGAAA